GCGTGCGTGTGCTCGTACGTGCGTGCGTGCGTGCGTGCGTGCGTGTGCGCGTGTGCGTGTGCGTGTGTGTGTTCCTAATTCTTCTCCTAATCGGCTCAAACGATTTTGAAGGGTTCTTTTGGATGCTCATGTGGTCATCTAGATGGCTTATGTACCATAAGCTAAGTCTATGGTTGCCTGGTGGGATTGTTGTGAAAATGCAGGATTTGTTCATCTACCGATCAAATTGCTTGTCAGGTCTGGTTGTCTTTTATAAAGAACTAGCTTCGCTTCGCTCGGGTTCGTCCCTGGCTTGTTCCCCAATACAAATTTTCACCCCCATTTTCACCCTCTTAAGGGATGATTTCCGGGATAAAAAGTATTCTATGTCCTTCCCAGGTTCTCAAACTATCTTCATACCAAATTCATCTAAATCGGTTCAGTAGATCCAGAGATTACCCTACAACGTCACAAACTCACAATCTCACAAACTTTACTTTTTTATAATATTAGTATAGATTGAAATATTACGAAAAAAATACTATTACTACTTATAAAACATAATATTAATTATATAATAAAGAAATCCTTGTTACACCACATGAATAGAAATATCTACCAGGTCACATTTCAACCAAAACATCGGCTACTAGGCTACCATAAAGAGGTAGAAGATTTTATTTGGATATATTGATACCAAGGGCAGTGGAAAGCCCGCGTAAAATCAAGGAAATCAAAGTTCAAATCTAAAATTAGGTGGCTGTTCAAATATTCAGATATGGGATTAATATCATCTTATTTCTAATTGAATTCTTTATGCAATATTGATTCAGAAATCAATGTTTGTTTATGAAAAAATCCTAGAAAAATATTTATTTATCTCACGATGGAGTTAGGCGGTAAGTAGGTAATAGAACTCTCAAATAAACTATTTTATTGTCATGAACGAAGAGGCTAATTCGTTCATGGTTATTGTTATATCAAATATTATATCATATAATATAACAATAACTCTCAAATAATATACTTAAGACAATCCACAATAATAGACCAGATACCTATAACTCTTCATGATAAACCAAATACCCAAAATCTAGAGAACACAGTAGCTGAAAAGTTAATCGAATACACTGAGTTAAAAGACGAAATAATGAGAATGTAGCATCTTAAAAACGTTACTATAGTTCCCATCGTACTCTCAACTACTGGTGTAATTCCAAAACAATTATTTCAATCTCTTAAAATACTGAGCCTCCCTTTATATACGAGTAGATAAGATATTTTAATATACAAAAAGCCGTTATACATGCAGAATAGTTCGTAAATTTCTACAAACGGATAATGATATAGGTAGTATCCTCAAATCGTATGACATTACTCAAAATCATGTCCAAGCGCCACATCCGCCACAACACATACCTCAACAACACAGTGTTACTTTAGATATTTAATTATCATATCACAAAAACTATTCCACTAACACTTGGCTCTGGCCCGTGTTAGTTGAGAATACCGGCAAAGCCGAGGTTTTCAAAAGAAAAGAAAAAAATAATAATAATACGTTGGGACATTAACACACAGCACCATCTAGTTTCATGGTAAGCACGAGGCTTGTGTTATAGATACCAAATAGTTGAAACACTACACATATATAACTTTAAATATATGTGTACATATTATAAATATACCCATAACTGGAGTACGAACATTCGTGCTCAATACACAAATGAATGCCTCCAGCGGAACTCGAACCCGCGACCGCTGACACGGCAAGTAAGCAACGTGTCGTCAGTCAATAACCCGCCAAAAGCCCCGTAATCGCAACTTACCGAAATAAATCTATACATATAATAAAACTGTAGAGGTCGAATGTCTTATGGTTTTAAGTTTCAGCTAGCGTAAGTCATGTAAAATTTTTAAAGACAGAGGGAATGAAAGATTTTTCTGTACAAAGAAACAGGTATTCTAAATGTTGACCCGAGTAATAAAGTCTCACTACACAAAATTTTGTTAAAATCGGTTCAGTACTTTTTTCGTGAAATGCAAATTACAGCCAAACAGACAAATACAAAAAAATATATGTATTGTTTTGGAGTTCAATATTCTGTACACAATACGTAAAAGTCATTGTTTATAAAATATTCCACGTACCAATTTTGCTTTGCTACTATTTTAGTATAATAATGTATATCATATTGTTCTCCTGACCGATTTCAGCTACGGTGGCAGGCGGCTATTCTTCGGCAGGAAGACAAAATTAAAACTTCTTTCAATCTCTAAGGATTTAAGGGTGGAATTATTTTGAAATGTATATGTGGCAAATCTTGTGGGTGGGTAGTTACAGTAATAATGAATGAAACAAACAAACAAAGATATAAAATATAAAAGTCGGACGGTGTCGTGGGACACCCGTCTGCCCTTGGCTCAGAAATTAGATCTTAAAAATTGTTACGTATATTAGGGTATCATAAAAATTAAGCAATGTAGATTATGATGATACTTATCGAAAAAACCTACACAGAGTGCACACGAATTTCTTACAACATAGATTTCTTAACACTTGGTACTTATGATGACGTCACACTATGGGCTGCCTTTAGCTCATAATATCCGGTGACAATAATTGTCACAAGTACTAAGGGACCACAGACCTCTAGGAATGGCCATTATATACATTTAATATGTAGGACCTCGTCATAAGAGTGCATATGAATTACTCAATACATACATTTCTGATCGGCTGGTACTTTTGATGACGTTACACTTTGGGGTGCACTTATTACACTTTTTTCCATCTAAATCTCATTCGTCAAGTGTGCTTTGTATAGCATACTTACATAAGGAATTAATTCGTTAAGAAAAATCTAAATGATTTAAGAACCTTTTCGTTTACACTGTACAATATTTTGTGATATTAAAATGGAGTCGGGTGATAAAGAGAACCGAATCGCTGTGATTACATTACACAAAGTAGGCATGGAGCCAAATACAATTTTTAAAACTCTCCATACGCTTGGTATTAGTCAAATGTGTTTGTACCAGGCTATTGATAGATACAATGAAACCTCCTCTGTGTGTGACAGAAAAGATCTGGCCGTCCACGTAGTGTTCTTACGAAAAAGGTGATCAAAGCAGTAAGGGAAAGAATTCGAAAAAATCCTGTCCGAAAGCAAAAGATTTTATCTCGGGAGATGAAGATAGCACCTAGAACGATGTCGCGTGTTTTAAAAGATGACTTAGGACTTGCAGCCTATAAGAGACGCACTGATCATTTCTTAACTGATCATTTAAAAAAGAATAAGAGGAAGTGGTCACAGAAAAATTTTGTTTACGGATGAGAATTTTTACAATTGAGCAATATTTTAACAAACAAAATGACCGTATTTATGCTCAAAGCCCTAAGGAAGCTTCCCAATTAGTTAACTAACAGAGTACAACGTGGACATTATCCGACTTCAGTGATGGTTTGGTGGGGTGTTAGCTATGAAGGAGTGACTGAGCCATATTTTTATGAAAAAGGTATCAAAACATCGGCACAAGTGTATCAAAGTACCATTATTTAGAAGGTAGTTAAGCCCCTTAAAAACACCATGTTCAATAACCAAGAATGGTCCTTTCAGCAAGGCTCGGCGCCGGGTCATAAAGCTCGATCCACGCAATCTTGGTTAGAAACCCACGTTCCGGACTTCATCAGAGCTGAAGACTGGCCGTCATCTAGTCCTGATATTAATCCGCTGGATTATGATTTATGGTCAGTTTAAGAGAGTATGGCTTGCTCTAAATGCCATGATAATTTGGAGTCTCTAAAACAATCCATACGAGTGGCAGTGAATAATTTTCCCATGGAAATACTGCGTGCTACCATGATAACTGGCCTCAACGTTCAAAGGACTGTATTGTAGCCACTGGAGACCTTTTCGAATAAGTTTTATATATTTTTAAAGGTTTCATATTAATGTATTAAACTAACACACTGTAATAGTAAATCTTACGTGCCATAGAAAAAATATTTTTTTCTTTGTAACAATATTTAGGGCAAGACTATGTATATTCACAATTTTTTACAAACAATGATAATTAGAGATAAATTGTTACAATTTCAGATTAGATAAACTTCTTTTTAATATTATTTAAAGAACATACATATATGTTTGTTACCATTACCTCGCGTTCAGTTCAGGAGTGATAGCTCTTCTCTTAGTGTGTCGCCCCTATATGACTGTTTTTATTTAGCATTTACATAATACCAATTACGCTTAGTCAATTGTGGCGAGAGATTTTAATTTCTTAAAAAAAGAAAACAAAAATTACGATTAAGGTAGGTGAAAAGAGTGAAAACAAATAATATTTTTAATTAGTACAAGTGTTACCTAGTAATTATATTGTTATGGTAGTATTTTACGTAGCTTATTATATCGATAGTAATATTTTTAGATAAATACATATGTTTACTGAAAATTTTTATATCGACTTCCAGCGATTCATAAAATATATCATTAAATAAAAATATTGTTGAACTAGTATTGACCGCGGCTCCATCCGCGCTCAGATGACCAAAAAACAAATTCTTATGTTTTACATATTAATATACTTACATTGCAGTTTTTGTATTTTTTCCCTCCAGTGGTTTTTCTGTGATGCGATAACAGACAGAGAAACAGACAGACAGACAAAAATTCTAAAAACTATAGATTCAGCCTATATATAGGAGAAGCCATTATGGAGATTGTGAATAAAACGCGTTTTGTGACAGTGACGCCAGCGCCTCTCGGGCGAGGGCGGGCGGGCCTCAAACATGGCTTTAGACTTAGAAAATGCCCCTCTTTCCAATGAATATATCGCGGAAAATGCTTTGTTTTATATAGATTGATTCACTATATTGACTGGACTATATAGATAAAGACAAATTACTATCGCTAGTAATTTCGAAAATGTCTCCTACTGCCGCCTACATTGTTGCAAAATGAATCAAAAAATGACACCAAAGAGTGGTTTTAATGAATGCATTTAATCATTTTTAGATGTACTTCGTGTCGACTTTAATGGGGCTGCTGTTTGGATATGGTCAAACACTAGATGCAAACTGCGATTTCGAACGAAACGTAAGTAATAATTTCTAGATACATTAATTCAACCGTATAATTATAGTATTATATGATCTGTGGTATAATACAAAAAGACGTACATATAAGAAATGTTTACATGACAAAAAAGTTTTTGTTGAGAAAATTATACTGCAATTATTAGTTCGAATGTTTTTTTCACGCTTAAACGGCTGGACAGGTTTGGATAAAATTTAGTACCAACTCAGAATAAAAAAACTTGGGTAAAATAATAAATAATGAAGGTAATTTTTAGTTATTATGAAACTGTATTGTATTCAGCCCTTTTTTTTAACGTCCCACTGCTGGGCACGGGTCTCCCTTCAGTACGAGGGGGATCAGGTCTTAGTCCACCACGCTGACCAAGTGCGGGTTGGTGGACTTGACATGTCTTTTGAAAACTTGCTAGGTTCTCTCAGACATGCAGGTTTCATCACGATGTTTTTCTTTACCATAAAGACAAATGGTAATCATGTTGGAAATGATTCACAAATAAAATATAAGAGGTGCGAGACTCGGGATTTGGTTTCCCAAGCGAACGCGTTACCACTAGGCTACCACTGCCTTTATGAAACTGGTTTACCATTTTTTTAATAGATAATTATAATATCATCAGATCCTAGCAGACAGAGATTATTACATAAACAGCCTAAACTATCCCGAAAGCTATAGCGCAGGAGCGAGGTGCCGATGGATTGGGAAGTGCCCCAAAGGATACAACTGCAGACTTGATTGCGATGACATTGATTTACCACAGGTAATAAAAAATAGGTTAAAAGAAATATAAAATAGTACCCACGGCTTCATCCGCGTTCAAACTTCCGATCGATACCAAAATTCACAGAATCACCCTCTGGGCTGGGCTTCAGCTGTTTTGGAGTCCATAGGAAACATACATACACATCGGTTTTTATTTTATTTAATCAACAATTTAAATTTATTTATTCCTCGGAAAACGGAGTCTTTTATGAAAATTTTGTGACACACCGACTGCAGCGTCACCTTCCTACCGGGTTCACTTGTGTTTTCAAACCATCCAGGTGCCCATTGAAATATACACACAAAATTTCATCCAAATCGGTCTCGCCCTTTAGGGTTAACAAACACACGTACAAAAGAATTATATATATTAAGATTTACTGATCATCAAACAAATAAGATTTTGTTTCTATGAAAAAAACCAATTTAATTTAGCGGCTGCTTAAATAAGAAAGGGCTGAACACAAAATAATTTATATCTCATAAACTACTCAAAATATGTCCACTTAAATAATTAACTCGGCTTAACTAAATAAAAAAAAAACAATTAGTAACAATTAAATGTAAATTATCATATTTCTATAAATGATGAAATCTCGTCTATGAGTACTTCCATCTCCTACCAAAATCAAACCTTTAAACATCCGTCGTTACATAAGGTACTCCTGCGCATTTTGTGCTTCTAAACTTCTAGAGCCATCGGTATAACGGGGATTTTACGGTTCCTACGGCGCCACGATTTGAAGACTGATTCGCATAGATCTCGACGGGATATGCTGAAAAGTAAGAATAAAATTTTTCGATATCTCGCTTAGTTTCCAAGATTCCAAGAAAAATGAAATTTTAAAACACTATGATAGATCCTTGTAGAAATATGAGTTAAATTTATTAAATAACCCTTTAATCTACTGTGCATCTATTAAATGCTAAGATATTGATGATAAAAAAGAAAAGGATCCTTTTTCATTAAAAGTCGAGTTATCTCAGGAAAAAATCGACGAAAAGAGTTTAGAAAAAAAAAATTTTTGTTCATTTTTTACATTTCATTATGATTTTTTAACAAAACTATGACTAAATATTGTAAATATGAACATGATTTTTTTTAAATAAAATATATTTTTAAGTAATAAATAAACAAGATTAGACTATGAATGAATTTCTTTTCTTTCTGTCATTACCTTAAAATCAAATTTTTCAGAAAAAATCAATTTTGACTCCAAAATCGATTAAAAAATAGTAAAATATCGATAAATTCTTAAAAAATAATAACATAAATAGATTCTACGGCATAAAAATACAAAAGCAGTGGTATACTTTACGTGAATTTCAACTTTATTTTCACAACTCGTCAAATTGCAAAGTTCGAATGTTTATGGCGACATTGTATAAATAACAAGCGTCAAATTAAAAACGTAGGGATACCATCTTTTTCGTTTTTTCCAAAAAAAATACATTAGTTTAATTAATTTTATAATAATTTGGTCAATAAAGTAAACTTCTTCAATGGTAATTGAAAAAAATGTAGTTTACAAAGTAATTATTATCGATTTCTCCATTTTTTTTTATTTTAAGGTGTTTTTGTTTTTGTGTTTTCTCGGAAATGGCTAAACATTTAAATTTCAATTTTTTAAGCTATTGCATAGCTTCTATCGCGGGCCTTGAGCGTGGGGACCGAATCCAGAAATTCCGTAACGAAAAATACCTGACACCCAACACTCCGACCGGCACAGCGGTGATACTTTTTAGTTTACGAATTACTATTCCTTATATACTTGCTAACATCTTAAAATCATAAAACTTCAGGCTTTCAATATTTTGTTCCCAAATCGGATTCCGATTGGACTATATTGTAATCAACGATTTTCGTAAAATTCACTCGCGAATTACACGGTCGCGTCAGCCCTCAGCGTTCTAGTGCGCAAACTAAGCGTGATCGGGGGCTGTGATCCGCGCCAATCACTTCCCTGGGAGATCCCCGCCGTTGCTTTCCCAACTGTATGGATTGTATAACTGTGGTATAACTATAGATTGTCAATATTATTGTTATTAAACAGATGATATTTTTAGACCCCGTCGTGCTCCGGAGATCGTGTGGTGATATCGAGGACGGGGGACCCGCTGTTGACCTCAGGAGAGACTTATTGCGGAGCCGGCTCTTTGACTGTGGTTTCCACTGGACAGAAAATAAGCATAGGTTAGATCTAATTTTACTTTTAGTAATTTATTTTAGATTTATAATACCAATCTGTAAGCTTTCATAACCAATAATCACATAATTATCTAATAATAATGTGAAACTACATAGCTCATTTACAATATACGAGTATAGAATGCCTAGTAGTACAGTAGGTATAACGACTTAGCCTCCTAACTGCCTCAGTGGCCTAGTGGCTAGCATGTACGACCGCAGATCCGGAGGCTCCGGGTTCGAGTCCCGCCACAATTATTATTATAGTATATAGAACATATTTTCTTTATTGCTTATGTAAAAGTACCAATTTATCATGCTCATTGATAAAATTAAATTAAATGTGCTCTAACATAGCAACCTATCGATTATTCGAGAGTTCTTCAGTAAATACTAATTCTATTTACAAATTCCATAATATAATTATTGATACGAAAAATAAAAGTAGGGTAATACATATACTAGCAGAACCCGCGGCTTCGCTCGCGTTAAAACTACAAAAAAACTCTAAAAAGGTAGTTTCATAAAAACTTTGATCTTCTATTTTACCCTCTTAGGGATTGAATTTTAGAAAACGCTGAAATATGTAACTCATTATTTTTACAGTACTCTATTCATACGAAATTTCATGCAAATATGTCGAAGGAATAAAATGTTTCATACAAACTTTTATCCCCTATTTCACGTCCTTGGGGGTTTAATTTTGAAAAATCCTTCCTTAGTGGATGCCTTCATCATATGAGGAATATGTGTGCGAAATTTCTATTTTCTAGCTTTAAAGTTTGGCCTTTGCGTTTACACATCAGTCATACACTTTTGCCTTTAATATAATATAGATTTTTAATATGTATGTATTTAAAGTTATATATGTGTAGTGTTCCAACTATCTTGTATCCATAACACAAGCCTCGTAGTTTACGATGGAACTATGTAGATGGTGCTGTGTGGTAATGTCCCAACATTTTATTTATATGGATAAAGTCTTGTCACTTGTGTTTACGTACACTACAATGTCTCCAGAAGTTGGCCAGTCTCAGCAATATTGGCCACCGTTACCGAAATTGGTTACCAGTAAATTAATAACTATACATAACAGGGAAAGATAAAAGTTCATTTCAGTACATTTTTTCTTCTTTATTTAAACCGTTCTTTCTTTGTTTTTTTTTTGTTTAGAAAGTTTTAGTGTTATCGATTAAAAAAAATTGTATTGTAATTTATATTGTAATTTACATTTTAATTACCAATAATGAATATGGTGGAACTTCGATCACTAGGTTAACACTAGTTATATAAATGTGAATATATATATATATATATATATATATATATATATATATATATATATATATATATATATATATATATATATATATATATATATATATATTTATTTATTTATTTTTCAGGTTTAATTACAGCTTTAAACACTACTGGAGGCAAATTCTCGTGTAAGTTGGCTGCACAGCTTCAATCAACGACTCCGCTTGACTTGTGTCAGTGTGGATATCAAGGCGCGGTAAGTATTATAAATCAAGGGAAAGAAGCTAATTAGAAGGAAACACGTATCTAAATAACGGAGAAGCTAAAAGAGAGTCAGAGATCTGTAATCTTCACTTGCAATTAAACCAAATACTAAAACAAAAACTAACCTCAAACTAATCAAAAGAACGTAAAACCATAATACTATGACTATAGTATCAGTATAAAATTGAAAATAGGAAAAAAATACTAGCGTAAAGAGTGATTATGCTGTTTTAGTATATCTCATACTAGCGACACACCCTCGCTTCGCTCGTCCCAACATGGATTTCCCATACAAACTTTCATCCCGATTTTCACCCTAATTTTACCTCTTTATAATATTAGTATAGATATAAGTAGTTTTATTAAAAAGGACTCCGTGTTATATTGTTAAGTTCTACTCTATTACTATAACAGTATTCTGAGATTTCGAAACTGATTCTAAAATCCTTTTTAATAATCCACTAAATCATATTTCAGAACCGAATTGTCGGCGGAACCGAGACAAGGTCTAATGAATTTCCAATGATGGCAGGAATCGTGTACGTTGATGAAGCTGCCATTAAATGTGGTGCAGTGATCATTTCTCGGACTGTTGTTGTGACTGCCGCCCATTGCGTGATAAATAAGCGTAAAGATAATGTAGCTGTTATTGTTGGAGAACCCGATACTGCAACCGGAGGTAAAATTGATCATATATACATATATACATGATTCTTATCACAAAATTGTTTCTTTAAATCTTTACGCTTACGCTACAGGTTAATTGATTAATTAATTTGAATTGAATGAATTTCAGAAAAAACACCTATAAATACTAAAGCTTTTTTGTGTTTGTGCTTGTATATTTATTACTCTATCACGCTGAAAATGCTGGACTTTGGATAAAATTTAGTAAATAAATAGATTGACATTTTTTTCACGTAGTGAATAAAGAATTGTATTTGAATACTTTGATTGGATGAGTGTATGCTCGATATAAGAAACATAATAAATGACCTTATGCTAAAAGCAATAGGGTCGACGATAGGAAATCTGGGCGTCGACACATTTATTTACGTTTACGCATACCACCTGCATACATACCAGGGAGACTAATACCTGGAGAAACATCTACTGTGTATGCACAAATAACTATAAGAGGTATATCGACAAATCGCTAGTTACTTAATTCATAAGGGTTATATGATTCTAGCGGCTCACCCTCGCTCCGCTCTGGTTCGTCCCTACATACTTTTTAACTTTTAGTATAGATTTCTCTGAGATGAGATATTTTCCCGCAATAAAAAGCAACCATATCAGTAAGATAACTAGCTATACCATATTTATACCATATATATACCAAATTTCATCAAAATCCCTCCAGTGGTTATTCGGCTTAGTTAAAATCTATACATATAATAAAATTGTAAATAAGTCGAATCTGTACATTAAATATTTTTTGGAAAATCTAATTGAAATAGACATTATTATCGATACAGAGTCCGAATCTATAGTGTTTAGAATTTTTGTCCGTCCGTCCGTCCGTCCGTCCGTCTGTCTCTTTGTTACCGCATCAGGAGAAAACCACTGGACAGATTTTGATGAAATTTGGTATGATGATAGCTGGTTGGTTATCCGGGTCAACATATAGAACTTTTTACCGCGGGAAAATATCTAATTTCTGACCAAAAATACAAAAACTGCACTGTAAGAGTATACTAATATGTAAAACCTAAGAATTTGGTCTTTGGTCATCTGAACACGGGCGGAGCCGCGGGCAATGCTAGTTTTATTATATGTACAGATGATGTACATATCTTGATTATAACAAAAATGTTTAATGATATTTATTTTTATTAGTAAAGTACTGTTACTTTGGCTTCGACTTATTATTTAGATCTAATTTGTACTTTAACTTTTTTTTGCTAGCTGACTCAAATGCCACGCAGACTTTTTCAGTGTTATGGAATAAAACGCATCCATACTATACAGAGTAAGTTCAAAAACCTATGGTAATAGTAAATATTTTGTTTAAGTTTATCCTAAGTATATCCGGAGTGGTCACTTAGAAAATCAAGTGAAGCAGATTTAAATCACGGGTTTCACGGGTCGGATATTTTCATTTATGAATCATTCTTAACATGATCTTACTGTAAAGAAAAACATCATGAGAATGCCTTTGCCCAATAATTGAACAAGTGCGCTAGATGAAGATTTTTATGTTGGTATACAATACAATATACGTATACGAGTGCAGACTTAATCATCGATGTCTATTGTTTTTGTGCTGTTTTATATTTTTATATGTATATGCATCATTATGTATTTTAATACGTATGTTATTAAAATATTACCTTTCATATTTTATAACAAAACTTGTATTTTTTAGAACTAATTCTGACTATAATGTAGCCGTCGTGAAAGTGCTTGGACAAATAATTTTTTCGGCTTATGTTGGTCCTGTCTGCTTACCTTTCAAATACCGTAATCGTGAATATAACTTCACTGGAGATACGGTTACTACTTTAGGTAAGATATAACGAATTACGATATCTCATAATTATTTCATCGATGCTATTTTAAAGTTGATTTCTAACAAGTTTAAAAAAAAAAGGTCTGTATAGCTTGCAGTACATATGAGACCACTTGAGCTTCAATTTTTTAGCGGTAGGATTAATAGTCTCGTCTAATAGATACATGAACACGACGAAAATATAAGGAGAAATTCTCAGTAGGAGTCTGGAGTTGGGAAGTTGGCGCCCTTGCTTTGGAGAACACGCAACCTTAACTATCATTGGACGTATCGAAGTATTGTAGAGAGTGCACTTGTGTTTGCGTACTTATGTATTATAATATCTCCTTCACAATTGTGAGAGCCTAGTGATGCTAACCTAAGTGAGATTAGCCGTCGTGGACATTATTATTTTAGATTGCTTCCCCATAGAAACTATCCTATATCCTTCCCAGGGACTCAAACTATATTCTCACCAAACTTCATTTAAATCGGTTATGTGGATCCAGAGATTACCCCCACAACGTCACAAACTCACGAACTACCTCTTTATAATATTACATAGTATAGATTATAGAATTTTACAAACTTTCAGATTGGGGTACTCTTGCTCCTGGAAGTACACCGTCTAAGGTTCTGCGAAAGGTGGATCTGAATGTGATCAGCCAGAGCGTTTGTCAACAGAGTTTCATTTTGGTGACGCCACGTCAAATGTGCACTTATACGAGGGAAAAAGACGCTTGCCAGGTATCATACTAATATCATAAAGGCGAATTTGTGTGTGCATATGTGTGTATGTGTGTGCGTGTGCGTACGTGTGTGTGTTTGTGTTTTTTGTAAGTGAAATGGAGATGGCTTTTATCCTGAATAACATAGACATTTCGACGTCTCTACAACACGCGTGTACAACTCGTGCAAATTTTTTTATACTTTTTAAGCCGAATCTGTGCATTAAATATTTTTTTGAAAATCTTATTGAAATATATATTATTATCGATACAGAGGCCGAATCTATAGTTTTTAGAATTCTTGTCTATCTGTCTGTTACTGCATCACGGAAAAACCACTGGAGAGATTTTGATGAAATTTGGTATGATAGCTGGTTATCCGGGTACATCATATAAAAAACTTTTTACTGCGGCAAAATATCTTATCTCTGAGAAATTTATACTAAACGTTAAAACGTAACTAGGGACAAAACCCGAGCGGAGCGAGGATGAGTCGCTAGTATTATAATATATAAGTAAACAATAATTGCTCATTTAATATTATAACTATTTATACTCAGGCGGTCCTCTGTTATATAGAGACCCTACAAACGGACTGCTATACCACGCTGGTATTGTGAGCTATGGTATATCCTGCGCATCAACAGCGCCGGGAATCAACACTCGTGTCACGGCTGTGTTAGACTGGATCGTGTCTGCTGCTCCTGATAACTATTGCAACAAATAAATTATAAATTATTTTGTTTTATTTCGCTATTATTATATAATATTTTATTTTCCCCATGAGGAATTTCTATTATTGTTAATGATTGACTTCAAATAGGAGGAGGTACTCAATTCGGCTTTTTTGTTGTATGTTACGTGATGTATTTGTAAATTGTAAATCATTTTCATAATTAATGAATGGTAACATATTATACCCTTATATGGTGGTTCGTCGTTCATCATATCATAGAAAAAAAACACATTGTACTTTGAAATGTATATTATTTATAAGTGCTTTTATATTACTTTTAAGTCATTTTGAAACCGGTTCACCATTTTTGTTAAAAAGTAATCATTACAAGAACAAGGCAAAGTACCTATATCTCCGTCTCCGTTTATATCAATACATATCAATACATGCCATGTCTTTATTATTTTTGTGCCAAAATGAAAAAAATAAATAATAAAAGTATTTATTGCAAGTTAACTGGTATTGTATTTACTGTGTTTTTTGACTTTCTTGGAGTAGGCATGAGATATTATCAGTAGCAAGTAACTAATATACCAGTATAGTATATTAGTCAATTGTTACATACCTACATATGTAGGAGTTCATAAACATTGAGGTACATAGAGAAAAATAAAATTATTCACAATTACACTAGGCACCTGCTCTAATGTGGTGTCCTAAGGTCTTAATAAAGCAAAATAATTTTAAAAAATCTCTCTTCTGGAGTTATAAGAACGTTTTTAAATTTGTTGATTACTTTATAAGTTTAACATACGCCGTACATAAAGAGAATTTATCGATATTGAAAAGTCAGGAAAAATACAAATAGCATACTTATCGGCATTGTAATGCTTGGCACAGAGCCTACCCCTCTGGGAATGCTCCGCCTTCATCTTAACGACGAGTAACAAACATACATATCCATACAAATTTTTGCATTTTTAATAAAAATGTGAGCTACATCGTATGCGCCGAAAAATTACTATTAAACTATTAAATATAACATGTTTCTTCTTTTAACTAACATTTTGACCTAATAAAACCATTGGAAGATGAATAGGTCGAGGGAATTGAACCTACGTTCTTCACTGTAACAGCACCAATATCTAATGGTCGTGAAAATTTAACTGTAATTTAAAATTTATTTTATCAAAATGGGACAGTATTATGAATCGTTATGCGTATTTTATGTAAATTGTAACGGAGTCAAGACTCCGTATCTACTACCTACTGAATATATTTGACGATAGTTGGCGCAATTAAAACCTAAACAACATTTTTTTTATAATAGCCAACTGAATTTGCCTATTCCCGGTATGCCCTAGCCCCATGCACCTGAATTCAAGACCTCGACGATGGCCGACGACCATCCAACCAAAAGTCGGGCACATCCCAACAGCCGTGCCCATCTCCCTCATTTTTACTGCCTACGAGCGATACAATCCGAAAACAGTCAAAGAGATGCAATGCTAGAATAATCGTACTATATAATAAAATTAATTATACCTAATCGTAATAATAATCTAAAATACGTGAATGATTGTAAGTTTGTTTGTTAATTACGCGTAAAATAAACGCGCAAAATATTCACCCATAATCTATTAGGGTTTCCATGCACATATACAAAAATTTATGGGTATGTATATATATAACACATACACTTATAAAATTTATATATATATAGTAGTAATCGGACCGTGATCATTATTTTTTTATTTGCTTACATTTATTTCAACTTACGGAATAGTAAAGATTTCATATATAGCATATAGTTATTGGAATTTTTATGAATCATATATAATAACAATTAAGTTTTTGGTGATTGATCTGAACATTTTTGAAATGTTAATTTATAATAATACTAATAACTACATTTACATAGAACTTAATTTTTATTACATTAAATTAGTTAAAATATTCTACAGCGTCCAAGCGCGTACTTTACCACACATTTATCTATCTGCGAGTGATTATTCTCTGCACGGACACAAATAAAAATGCTCCTCAATACATGCATAAATACAACGTAAAATAAGTAGTCGATTGCTAGCGCGGAGAGAGCAAAAAGTGCCACAGCCTTCTCGACTGAGCGCCAGCGCGCGACTGCCGCCCGCGCCCGCGCAGAGCACTTCTATAGCTTCGAGGTTCATAATTAGTATTTTCGATTTTAATATAGGAAAAAAGTAATTGATTTACAAAAGTATTGGCGGGTATAAAGTAAAACAGATCTTTTATTTTTTTTGTCTTTAAATGTTGCAAAAATTCTTAGCCGTTTAGAAACAATAGGCAAGGCAAGTCAAAAATACCATTTCTTTGAAAAAAAAGCAATAGATATTTTGGTACCACGAACAAAATAATTATGGAAAATATTGTTTAAGAGTTGATGATTCACATATTTTTTTTTCAAGTCTAGCCATAAACGAGTAGCACGCTTTAGAAAGTACCTCTTTAAGGGTACTAATCACTATAACGGATTCTCTTAAGCCCGCACGTACGACTGCGGCGGCGACATTTTCCTCGGTGACCGAACCGTCAAGACCTATATAATAATAAGCCTGACTAACAGCAGGCGCTGGTCAATGCCCGCCAGTTTTGCGTCGATGAGGGCCCCTACTGAGGAGATACGAGAGGCCCTCAGCTCCTCCAGTGCATCCCCCTGCAAAGATGAGGGCGGAGCATTCGCAGAGGGCTAGGCACTGTACCAAGCATAACAATGCCGATAAGTATGCTATTTGTATTCTTCCTGACTTTTCAATATCGATAAATTCTCTTTATGTGCGGCGTATATTAAACTCATAAAGTAATCAACAAATTTAAAAACGATCTCCAGAAGAGAGAGTTTTTAAAATTATTTTACTTTATTAAGACCTTAGGACACCACATTAGAGCAGGTACCTAGTGTTATAATATTTTTTTTCTCTATATACCTCTATGTTAATGAATTCCTATATATATATATAGATATGTAACAATTGACTAATATACTATACTGGTATATTAGTTACTTGCTACTGACAATTTCTCATGCCTACTCCAAGAAAGTCAAAAAACACTAGTAAATAAAATACCAGATAACTTGCAATAAATACTTTTATTATTTAATTTCTTCATTTTGGCACAAAAATAATAAAGACATGGCATGTATTGATATAATATAAACGGAGACGGAGATATAGGTACTTTGCCTTGTTCTTGTAATGATTACTTTTTAACAAAAATGGTACACCGGTTTCAAAATCACTAAAAGCACTTTAATACATATATACATTTCAAAGTACAATGTGTTTTTTTCTATGATATGATGACCAACGAACCACCTTAAGGGTATAATATGTAACCATTCATTAATTATGAAAATGATTTACAATTTACAAATACATCACGTTACAATTTACACATACAACAAAAAAGCCGAATTGAGTACCTCCTCCTATTTAAAATCAATCATAAACTACAACAGAAATTCCTCATGGGAAAAATAAAGTAGTTCATAAAAATAACGAAATAAAATAATTTATAATTTATTTGATGCAATAATTATCAGGAGCAGTAGACAAGATCCAGTCTAACACAGCCGTGATACGAGTGTTGATTCCCGGCGTAGTTGATGCGCAGAACGTACCAAAGCTCACAATACCAATATTGAATAGCACTCCGATATTAGGGTCTCTATATAACAGTGGACCGCCTGAGTCGTCCTGCAAAAGTATTAATGGTTTTTAGGAATATTATAAAGATTGATAATTTGTAATATTATATGATCAATTCTTGTACACCTATATAATTAATTTATTTCGTGTATCTCGGAAACGGCTCTAACTATTTGAATCAATTTTTGTATTTAGATAAGGTTTTGGCAATTTTTATATCTTTTTTTCTCTCTTTCACAATAAAACACACACACACACATGTACGCACAAGCACACACAAATTCGCCTTTATGATATTAGTATGATACCTGGCAAGCGTCTTTTCCCCTCGTATAAGTGCACATTTGACGCGGCGTCACGGAACTGAAACTCTGTCGACAAACGCTCTGGCTAATCACATTCAGATCTACCTTTCGCAGAACCTTAGACGGTGTACCTCCAGGAGCAAGAGTACCCCAACCTGTAAGTTTGTAAAATTTTATAATATAAAATAATGAACCCCGTGGTCCCCGAAAACTAAAATCAACAACGACTAATTAAAGGCGATAGTGGAATCTGACGATACTCAATCTACGGCGGAGTTAGCAGCGGCTTTCAACGTTAGCATCAAAAAAAATATTGGTGCATTTTTTTAAATAAAACTATCTTTTCGGATTTTTTTGTGGATTTATTTTGATATTTGGTTCCTGACGTTTCGAATGCTTTACAGCAATCATGGTCACGGGAGAGACTAAGGTGTTAGATGTCTTAAAGGTATTATATAGTTGTTACCGACAGCCTAACCACAAAATAAAATATTAATTAAATAATTAACGAGGCACATAATTGTTCTATGTGTAATTTAAAAAAGTTAAACTTAATTAAGAATAATAATTTTAATTTAGTTTGCTATTATTTAAAAACAAATAACTAAGCAACACTATTACTACATACATTAATTACAAATGATTTTTTTTTTATTGAGAGGCAGTACAAAGTGCATTTAAAGAGATTGTTGGCTCCCGTACACCTGGCTTCTCCAAGAAGGGTGTTGAAGAAACCACTTCGCTGACAGAGATGCATCGATAGCATGGATGCAAAATTTGATTGACAGAAATAAAAAAAATGGCTTTAACTTTCTGTAAGTAAAATGGCAATTTCGTAGGTAAAGACCGTATATCATCGATGGAATAATTATGAGATAGTATCTCTCCTTTCACTTATTATAATTCGTTATATCTTACCTAAAACAGTAACCGTATCTCCAGTGAAGTCGTAGTTGCTATTACGGTATTTGAAAGGTAAGCAGACAGGACCAACAAGAGCCGAAAAAATTATTTGTCCAAGCACTTTCACGATGGCTACATCGTAGTCATAGTTAGCTCTAAAAAAATACAAGTTTTATTATAAAGGTAACATTTTGATAACATACTTAGATGCATATATATATAATAAAATTGTAACTAAGCTGAACATGATCTGTACATTAAATATTTTTTGGAAAATCTTATTGAAATAGACATTATTATCGATACAGAGGCCGAATCTATAGTTTTTACAATTTTTGTCTGTCTGTGTCTGTCTGTCTGTTAATGCATCACAGAAAAACCACAGGAGGGGTTTTGATGAAATTTGGTATGGTGATAGCTGGTTATCCGGGTCAACATATAGGATACTTTTTACCGCGGGAAGATGTCTCATTTCTGAGAAAAGATACAAAAACTGCAATGTAAGAGTGTACTAATATTTAAAACCTAAGAATTTGGTTTCTGGTCATCTGAACGCGGGCGGAGCGCGGGCAATGTTAGTATATATATGTATATATATATATATATATATATATATATATATATATATATATATATATAAAGCAGCAAAGCAAAATATACACATCGATGATTAAGTCTGTACTCGTATACGTATGTTGTATACCCACATAAAATTCTTCATCTTGCGTACAATTCTGCAGACATAAAGTATGAATTTGTTTCTTTTTCAATTCAATTTAGACCTTTTTTAACATTCAACTTCAGGACAAAAGCCTTCCTGCTGGCCAAGTACTGGTTAACGGACTTCACATGTACATATTTCGAAAAATAATTAAGTTCTGTCAGATAAACAAGTTTCCTCAAGATGTGTTCCTTTACCGTAGGGTTATGTTGAGAATGATTCGTGCATGAAAATATCACAGAGACCCGGGGGATTTGAACCCGCTTCACTTGATTTTCCAAGCGACCATTCCGGATACACTTAGGATATACTTAAAAAAATTACTATTACTAATGTAATAGTAATTTTTTTTTTATATTTAGTAATTTTCTTTAATAGTTTTTGAACTTACGGTGTATAGTAGGGATGAGTTATAATCCTTGACACTCGAAAAAGCTGCGTGGCATTCGAGTCAGCTAACAAAAAAAATAGTTCAATAAATCGATATTGGTCAAGTACAAATTAGACCTAAATAATAAGTCGAAGCCAAAGTAGGTAAGAGTACTTTACTAATAAAAATAAATATCATCAAACATTTTTGCCTATGTTTCATTCTCACAGTTGAATAATGTTTACACTTTTGCAGGAACATATACGAGTATGTAGTTATAATCAAGATACATCGACTATGTATATTAAATATTATAAAGAGGTAAAGTTTGTGAGTTTGTGAGGTTGTAGGGGGTAATCTCTGGATCTACTGAACCGACTTAGATGAAATTCGGTAAGAAGATAGTTTGAGACCTTGGAAAAGACATAGGATACTTTTTATCCTGAAAATCATTCCTTAAGGGTGTGAAAATGGGGATGAAAGTTTGTACGAGGAATAGACCTAACGAAGCGAGGAATAGACCTAACGAACCCGAGCGAAGCGAGGGTGAGTCGCTAGTATCTTATAAGCCTCATGAATAATAAGTAACTAGCGGCTTATTCTCGCTTTGCTCATGTGTGTCGATATACCTTTTACATTTATTTGTACATATGTCTATATATCTTTTGGAAAACAGTTATATACAGTAGGTGTTACTCCAGGTCATATTCTATCTATACTCTATCTTCCTCTTTATGTGCATCCTTGTCATGGCGGGGGCGCTCATTAGCGAAGCCAAGAAACGCACGGGTGGTGTATCATGGGGTTGTTCCTGGTACTTCTTTGTTAACAGAGTGGACCGTTGGAGCAACCTCATGGTTGTTGTGGTCTGCTTCGGAAGGCCTGCCGTCAGGGCATCGTGGTTGAGTGCGTAAACGATCCTGTGGCCTCCCGTTAAGACGGTGGAGGTTCGGTAAGGTTTTAGTGGGAAGTATTGACTTTTCCGGTGAGTCCCATATAGCCGCCTGCATGCATGCAGTCAGCAGGTGGTGTGCGTAAATGCTTGAAAAAAGGTCATGTGTACGTACAATATTTTATCCAAATTCATACGCAATTTCAGCGTCAAAGAGTAATAAACATACATACACAAACACAAAAAATCTTTGGCATTTACAAAAGTGATTTGTTCGGTAATTTATTCAATTTCAGGTTAATTAATTAATAAACCTATAATTTAAACAATGTAAAGATTTAAAGAAATAATTTTGTGATAAAAATTATCTATATATGTATGTATTTGTACTTATCAATTTTACCTCCGGTTCTAGTATCATGTTCTCCAACAATAACACCTATTTCATTTATCCCCTTATTTATCACGCAATGGGAGGCGGTCACCACAGCATTTCTAGAAATTATCACTGCACCACATTTAATGGCAGCTTCATCAACGTACACGATTCCTGCCATCATTGGAAATTCGTTAGGCCTTGTCTCGGTTCCGCCGACAATTCGGTTCTGAAATATGATTTAGTGGATTGTTGAAAAGGAATTTAGCATCAGTTTAGATATCTCAGAATACTGTTGTAATAATAGAAGAACATAACAATATAACACGAAGTCCTTTTTAATATAACTATATAAGATATACTAAAATGAACATATTATTCACTCTTTACGCTAGTATTTTCTTAATATCTAATTTCAATTTTATACTGATACTATAGTCAAAGTATAATGATTTCATATTCTTTTGATTAGTTTGAGGTTAGTTTTTGTTTTAATATTTGGTTTAATTGCAAGTGTGGATTACAGATGTTTCTCTCTTTTAGCTTCTCTGTTATTTTAATACGTTTCATTCTAATTCGTTTCTTCCTTATTAAATAAAACTATCTTTTCGGATTATTTCGCGGATTTATTTTGATTTTTGGTTCCCGACGATTCGAATGCTTTACAGCATCCATGGTCACGGGAGAGACTGAGGTGTTACATGTCTTGAATGTATAGTTGTTACAGACAGCCTACCCACAATTAACACATTAGAATCGGACAATACCTTAGCTTTCCTAGATGTATTAGTTAAACGTAACCCAGATAACACCTTGAGTCATACTGTGTATAGAAAGAAGACCCATACTGATAGGTACCTGAATGGTGAATCTCACCACCATCCTTCACAGTTAGCTACCGTGGGAAAATCTTTGTTTCAGAGAGCGCGCGGGATCTGTGACGAGCAACACCTGGCCGGAGAACTGCAACATGTCAAGCAAGTTCTGCGTGACAACAAGCTGCAAGTGCCGCGCCTGCGTCACAGTGAACGAGTGAAACCAGCCACAGTCGAGCGCGTCCCTGCAGTCTTGCCATACATGAAAGGAGTCACTGACAAGATTGGCTACATTCTAAAGCGAGCTTCAATTAAAACCTACTTCAAGCCGCTAAAGAAAATTAGTCAGTTCTTACCACCTGTCAAGTGCCACATCCCTCTACAAGATGCAGGAGTTTACAAGCTTGATTGTGATTGTGGGCTCTCTTACATTGGACAAACAAAGCGATCCATTAGAACCCGGGTCAAAGAACACATAGCTGATGTGAAGCACCGTCGCAATACAACATCTGCTGTCTGCAAACATAGCCAAGACCGCCCAAGCCATTATATTCGTTTCGATAGACCTCAAATCCTGGCGAAAGAAAACCGATATCGCCCTAGAATGATTCGAGAAGCCATAGAAATTAAAAAACATCCAAATTTCAATAGAGAAGATGGCTGGGTACTACCATCGTCATGGGATCCTGTTATTAATATAATAAAATCAAATAATAAATATAAACATAACAGACAGGCAGATGTAGTAAGTTCATACTGTGTAGATCAAAATGACAGCTTATCAGATTAATATTTTTCATTTTTCATTTGTAAAAGTATATATTAATAGTGTTGCTTAGTAAGTTGTTTTTTAAATAATAGCAAACTAAATTAAAATTATTATCCTTAATTAATCTTTAAATTACACATACAACAATTATATGGCTTAAATAATTAATACTATATTTTATATTTTTCTTTATGGTTATAAATATAATAATGGCAACACTAAATATAGATTACTAATTAATATTTTAAAATTGTAATAATTATAAAAATAATAGCAAAAATGAAATAAATAATTTTCCATATTCAATTATAATTAAAATTATAAAAATGTCTAAAGTTAAAAAATATTGTAATGTAATTGGTGCAATTTTCATTTTGTTAATTGTGGGTAGGCTGTCTGTAACAATTATACATTCAAGACATGTAACACCTCAGTCTCTCCCGTGACCATGGATGCTGTAAAGCATTCGAAACGTCGGGAACCAAAAATCAAAATAAATCCGCGAAATAATCCAAAATATAGTTTTATTTAATAATGTCAAATATTCGCGTAAATCGTTTCTTCCTTTGATTTATAATACTTACCGCTCTTTGATATCCACACTGACACGAATCAGTCATTGATTGAAGCTGTGCAGTCAACTTACACGAAAATTTGCCTCCAGTAGTGTTAGAAGCTGTGATTAAACCTGAAAAATAAAATAATATATTTTAAATAAAACTATTTTTTCGGATTATTTCGCGGATTTATTTTGATTTTTGGTTCCCGACGTTTCGAATGCTTTACAGCAATCATGGTCACGGGAGAAACTAAGGTTATAGACCACTATTTTACAAAAATGATTTAAAAATTCAAAAATGGCAATATTTTTTGAAATTTCGAAATAATCCGAAAAGTTAGTTTTATTTAAAATGTCAAATATTCGCGTAAATCTAAGAAAGTATTAAAAGTAATATACTTATATTCACATTTACATAACTAGTGTTTACCTTGTGAGCGAAATTCCTACATATTCTTTACTGATAATTTTGGTAAAATATATATGAATAGAATTTATCTATCTATATGAAAATAACAAACTGTTTCCAATGTTTTTATTAATAACATTAAAACTCTCTAAACAAATAAAAAAACAAAAAAAAGAAAATCTGTTTACATACAAAAGAAAAAATGTACTGAAATGAATTTTTATCTTTCCTTGTTTATGTATAGATATTAATTTACTCGTAACAGATTTCGGTTACGGTGACCAATAGCGCTGAGACTATCCAACTGCAGACACAAGTGCACTCTTCATCCCTTTAACTCTCATATTCCAGTAGTAAGATAACTCGTAACGCGACATTTATAAACAACTACCAAAACCCGCGACTTGGCTCGCGGTAAAACTTCAAAATTAAAACTCTTTGTCTTTATGCTATTAGTAATAATATGGTGGATGTAATGATTTTTAAATGAATAGCGGCTCACCCTCGCTTCGCTCGGGTTCGCCTCTAGAAAGACAAAAACAAATCTATCCCATGGCAACCATACATTTTTCAGGATAAAAAGTAGCCTATGTGTTATTCTATTGTATGAGCTTGTATGTAAGAAATTCGTTCAATAGTTTCGCGTGGAAGAGTAACAAACATCCACACATCTATACATCAAGACATTCAAACAACCTCACAAACGTTCGTATTTATAATATTAGCAGGATGAAATTCAAAGTCGTATTTGACAGTATTATGTCCTATGGTATCTTACTTCGGGGAAATACAGCTGTTATTAATAGGATTTTTGTCCTGCAGAAAAGATCTATTCGTGCGATTTATAGTTTAGATCCTAGAGTATCATTAAGAGATAAGTTTAAAGAAATTAAAATATTGATTGTTGCTTCTTGTAAAAATATACACGAATTTCCCAAGAATTGAGAGAATGCATAACATTAATACTAGGAGCAAACACAAACTTGTTATGCCTGTGACTCGTCTACATAGAGTCAATAATTCTTTTTATGGAAAAATTTATACGCTTATACAACAGGATCCCAGAAAACGTTCAAAAAGCTTCTATCGCCTAATTCAAAAGAATCGTTAAAGAACGTTTGTATGCTAAAGGCTAACTTCACACTGTAGTCAATAACAACTAACTTCATACTGTAGTCTAAATCTGCCGCATCGTAATAAAAACACTCTCATTATTCATTTTTCATTTTTATAACGCTCCAAAAGAAGTATAATTTCAAAAAATATTTACGTTTTCACAAGACCTGTACATATTTTTTTTATTATGGAGTAACAGACAGACATATGTTTGGTCGTAGGCCATAGAACTCTCGAATAATCGATAGGTTCCTATGTTAGAGCACATTTATTTTAATTTTATCAATGAGCATGATACATTGGTACTTTTACATATGCAATAAAGAAAATTAGTTCTTTATAGCATAATAATAATTATGACGGGACTCGAACCCGGAGCCTCCGAATCTGCGGTCGTACATGCTAGCCACTAGGCTACTGTGGCAGTTAGGAGGCTGAGTTGTTATACTGTATTAGGTATTCTATATATTGTAAATGAGCAATGTAGTTTCACATTATTATTAGATAATTATGTGATTATTGTTTATGAAAGTTTACAGATTGGTATTATAAATGTTAAATAAATTACTAAAAGTAAAACTAGATCTAACCTATGCTTATTCTCTGTCCAGTGGAAACCGCAGTCAAAGAGCCTGTTCCGCAATAAGTGTCTCCCGAGGTCAACAGCGGGTCCCCCGCCGTGGATATCACCAGACGATCTCCTGAGCACGACGGGGTCTAAAAATATCATATACTTAATAAAACTAATATCAACAATCTTTAGTTATACCACAGTTTTACAATCCATACAGTTGGGAAATGTACTTGCGTAGAGCAACGACGGGGATCTCCCAAGGAGGTGGGCGTCACGGATCAGAGGCGGGAGGCCCCCGATCTCGCTTAGTTTGCGCACTAGAACGCTGAGGGCTGACGCGACCGTTAAATCGCGAGTGAGGTTTACGAGAATCATTCACTACATTAATTCTTTTGGCGGACTACAGTTACAGTTACCTCCAGCTGATTTTTTTGACTACTGTAATGAACTAGAAAACCAATTTAGGCAGAATTTCCGTTCATTTGTTGGCAACAATATTTTAGAGAAATTATTTTAACATATTAAGTAAAGTATAATTTTAATCATGGCAATGCTCATGTTTCCTTCAAACTTTTACGATGTGATTGTTTATCCAAATTCGAATACATTACTTGGATAATTAAATTTAATAATTGAAAACTGAAAACATCTAAAAATAAATATCTGGCAGTGCAACATATGTAAATGTAATTAGGTACATAGGTCCTTGTATTTTTTTTATATTGGGATATTAACACACAGCACCACCTAGTTCCATTGCAAGGTAAGAGGCCTGTGTTATGGATACCAGATAGTTGATACACTACACATACATATAACTTTAAATTCATACATGGAGTGGAGGATTGGAGTACAAACATTTGTGCTCATCACACAAATTAATGTCCCCAGCGGGACTCAAACCTGCGACCGTTGGCTCAGCAAGTAATGTCACTACAAACTGAGCCAAACGTGTCGTCATAAATGATTACATAATAATCACATTTAATTTATTTTTATTTTTCGACAACCCTTGCACATTTACGAATGATAGCGTAAGCCTAGTAAGCGTAGCCTACAGGGGCAGTGGTGTCCCGTGTCATCCGACATCAAAAGCGTTTCCCAACTGTATGAATTATAAAAGTGTGGTTATACCAATGGCTCTAGAAGTTTGAAAACACTAAATGCACAGGAGCACTTATATAACAAGGGATTTTTAAATTTTTGATTTTAGTAGGAGATGGAAGTAATCGAATACGAGATTTCATCATTTACAAAAATAGAAATATGATAATTTACGTTTAATTGTTTCTATTTGATTTTTTTAAATTTATTGAAGCCAATAATTACCGAGTTAATTATTTAAGTAAATATATTTTGAGTAGTTTATGAGATATAGAATATTTTCGGTTCAACGCTTTGCTATTTAAGCGGCCGCTAAATTAACTTGATTTTTTCATAGAAATATAACTTATTTATTTAATGATCGGTAAATATTTTATATTACATATAATCTATTTTTCATTACCTGTGGTAAATTAATTTCACCGCAATCAAGTCTGCAGTTGTATCCTATGGGGCAATTCCCAATCCATCGGCACTGTGCTCCTGCGTTATAGTTATTGGGATAGTTTGGGCTATATATGTAATAATCTCTGCCTGCAATGACCTGAATATATAAATATTTATTAAAAAAAGGTAAACCAGTTTCATAATAATTTAAAATTACCTTCATTATTTCACCCTAAGTTTTTTTTTATTTACCATTCAAACCCGTCCAGCCGTTTAAGCGTGAAAAAAATTCAAACATTCGAAATAATAATACTAGTAGGTATAATTTTTTCAAGAATTTTTTTTTGTCATGTAAACATTTCTTATACAATTTTAGATTTAATGTATCTAGAAATTATCACTTACATTTTGTTCGTAATTGCAGTTTGCATCTTGTGTTTGAGCATAGCCAAACAGCATCCCCATTAAAGTTGGCACGAAGTACATCTAAAAATGATTAAATGCATTCATTAAAACAAATTCTTTGGTGTCATTTTTGAATTCATTTTGCAAGAGTGTAGGCGGCAGTAGGACACATTTTCGAAATTAGTAGCAATATTAATTTGTCTGTACCTATATAGTCCAGTCAATATAGTGAATCAATCTATGTATATAAAATAAAGCATTGGATAAAGGGGCATTTTCTAAGCCTAAAACCAAACTTGAGGGGTCGCCCGAGAAGCGCTGGTGCCACTGTCCCAAAAAAACGGTTTTATTCACAATCGCCGTAACGGCTTATCCTGTGTAAAAAAAATATAGAAATCTTTTCTCTTATTAAAGTAATCCAGATTATAATGGAAACCACGGGAACAGTACATTTTCAGGAATAAAAAGTAGCCTATATGCTATTCCAGACTATACTCTATCTCTATGCCTTTCATCTAGATCCGTTCAGCCGTTCTGGCGTGATTGAGTAACAAACATCCAAACATCTAAACTTTCACATTTATGATATTAGTAAGATGTATCTACAGAAAGTGATTTGTTACACTTTTATTATATGTATAGATAATCGATAAACTCTGAAATTGAACTAAACCGATTTAAAAAATGTTTCACCAATAACTTTCTTTTTGGAAATGCATTTTCGCATCAAAGGGTTGGTTTTGAAGTATGAAGTTAGTTTTGAGAAATGTTGGTAATTAAAGTAAAAATGAAGCAATTAAACATTTTTTTTAATGTAAATCTCGCATTTTATTTTCTAAATGTTAATAGATTAGTCCTCAGTCCTAACACTAGAAAAAATCGAAATGAATTATTGAAGTAGATTCTTAAGAAAATAATATATTTCATCTAAAAAGGTACACGCTACTGCAAATTCTAATCTGCTAAATATGTTCCACTCTCAAAGGTTGAATGCAAAATGACCCTTGAGGTAAAAGCCTATTCATTGAAAGAAAATCATTAAAAGAAACCCTCTTAATTTTGAAGTTGACCCATAATTAATTTTTGCCTCAGTTTGTTTACTTTGCCGGGTGATACACTGAATACAATATCTTCAAGAAAAAATGGTCTATATACCTTCACATTATTGATCTGATTTTAAAATTTAAATTTATCGTGATGTATTTGATGATTATTACATATATTACATGGAAAATTCCAAAATAAAAAAGTATCAAGCACTTGCTTAAGTTTGAGAATACAAGCATTTTCAAAGTTTTTAGGATTACTTTTACGTAAATAAAGAATTGATAGTGTGTTAAATTATATAATTTATTTAAATAAATAATTATTTATTAATAACTAATTTAGTTCCAAAAGACAGAAAAAAATAGTGTAAAATAAAAAAGTAACAATATACGAGTATTTTTGATTAATTAATATGTTAAATTTATTTGATTAATTGGAGGTAGTTTATTTTCTTTTTTAGTATATTTAATGTAATGGAACTATAAGTACACTATTTAATTGATCCATACAAACACATATGCGTATACCGTATTAGCACTTTTTTATGTAAGGTTTGACTAAAAATATACCTGAATGATTTTTAAAAGTGAACGTTTTAGAAGAAAATATTACGTTCAAAAAAAATAAGTATTATCTATATGTTGAACATATTCAACAATATTTTTATTTAATGAGATATTTAATGAAATTTGACTCACGATTTTTGATACCGACTCGCTAGCTGGAAGTGGTTAAAATAATTTTCTTTATATACATTTATTTAAAAAATATTACTAAATATTGATATTACAAGCTACGCAAGATATTAATTATCATAACAATATAATTACTAAGTAACACTTGTACTAACTAAAAATATTATTCGTATTCAAACTTTACACCTACCTTAGTTTAAATTTTTGTTTTCTTAGTAATACAAATACTTAAAATAATTATAAATAAAAAAAAAATAATGAACCGAATGATGGTTATCTTTTGCACGGAAATTTTTAAGAAATTAAAAACTCAAAATGTCAATTTTCGCGCCACAGTTAACTAAGCGTAATTGGCATTGTGTGAATGCTAAATAAAAACAATAATATTGATATTTCCAGTGATATAGGGGCGACACACTAAGAGAATAGCTATCACTCCTGAACTGAACGCGAGGTAATGGCAAGAAGCATTTAAGTATGTTTTATAAATACTATTAAAAAGGAAGTTTATCTAAATTAAAAGTGTAACAATTTATCTCTAATTGTCATTGTTAGTCAAAAATTGTGAATATACTTGTATTTAGTACATAATCGTGCGAGATAGTGCACGAGCATTATATTATGTACATAAATGACTTATAAATAAATAAAATCTTATCTTTTTTTATTTTTAACCGACTTAAGAAACGAAAAGGTGCTCAAATCGTTTAGGTTTTTCTTAACGAGATTCCTTATGTAAGTATGTTATACTCGACACTCTTGACGAATGAGAGCTAGATGGAGAAAACTGTAATATGTTCACCCCAAAGTGTAACGTCATCAAAAGTACTAGCCGATCAGAAATGTATGTATTGAGTAGTTCGAATGCACTCTTATGACGGCGTCCTAAATATTATATGTATATTATGGATATTCCTTGAGGTCTGTGGTCCCCTAGCGCTCGTGACAATTATTTTCACCAGATATTATAAGCTAATGACTGATAAGAACCAGGCGTTCCTATAAGTGTTAAGGAATGTTTGTTGTATGAAATTTTTGTGCACTCTGTGCAAGTCTTTTTCGATGAATTTCAACATAATCTACATTGCTTAATTTTTATGTTACCCTAATATTCGTGACAATTTTAATGACCTAATTTATGAGTCAAGGGCAGTCAGTATCGGGAGTCCCATGACACCGACCGACTTTTATATTTTGTATCTTTGTTTGTTTGTTTCATTAATTCTGCCGTCATAAAAAAGAAGGCCGCAACTTCGTCAAAGTTGATTTCGAGATATTTGAAGTTTTGTCTTAGTACTTAGTAGTTTATACGTAGTTACGATGAAAACGGTTATGGTATCTTCGGATTCCATAAGACTTAAAGCTTTATGAGTAAGAATATTCAAGTAGCATTTTTTTGCTGATTCCAAATCTACATTTAAGTCATTTTTGACTAAATTGTTAGTTAGGGCCTTCTTTATTATTATGACGGCAGAATTAGTTACACCCACAAGATTTGCCCCATATAAATTTCAAAATAATTCCAACCTTATAAATCCTTAGGGATTGCAAGAAGTTTTAATTTGTCTTCCTACCGAAGAATCGCCGCCTGCCACCGTAGCTGAAATCGGTCAGGAGAACATTATGTACTAAAATAATAACAAAGCAAAATTGATAAGTAGAATATTTTTAAAAACAATGACTGTTACCTATTGTGTACAGAATATAGACCCGCAAAACAATACTTATTATTTTTTTAGTATTTGTCGGTTTGGCTGTATATCTCTGTGCATTTCATTCAAAAAGTACTAAGACGATTTTAAATAAATTTTATGTATAATAATATAATACCTTCTTACTCGGGTCAACCTTTAGAATACGTGTTTCTCGAAAAAATCTTTCATTCTCCCAAGAAAACACCATAACTGATTCTGTCGAGTCGTTCTTAGAAATTTAACATGGCTAACGCTGGCTAAACCTTAAGAGATTCGTTAAAACAATGTAATAAGTAATTTAAAAGAAGTAGAAAATTATAGCTTTTAAAATGGCCTACAGAAAAGTCCTCGATAACAAATATCTCCTAAGTTTGCACTCACAATAACTATGTTTATCTGGTAAAGAGGTAATTCGGTAGTTATTCATATAATAATAATTATACTTTTGATAACAAAATTATTTTGATTAATGAATAATATAATTTTTTAATAATTAATACTATGTATTCATTATTGTGTAGGTAGAGGTAGCCCAATGATAACGCGCTCGCTTGGGAAACTGAGTGAAGCGGGTTCGAATCCCGGGTCTCCCAACTCTGATATTTTTATGTGCGAATCATTTCCAACATTTCCACTTGCCTTACGGCGAAGGAAAATATTGTGAGGAAACCTGCAAGTCTGAGAGAACGTAGCAAGTTTTTGAAAGACATGTGAAGTCGGCCAACCCGCACTTGCTCGGCGTTGTGGACTATGGCCTGATCCCCCTCGTACTGAAGGGTGGCCCGTGCCCAGCAGTGGGACGTTAAAAAATACAATAATAAGTATATAGAGTATATACTTTAGTTTAATCAAATTAAAACCAGTTGACAGTAACTTCCACTAATTGTACAGATAAGGAGGCGATTCACTTTGCATAGTTGTGATAAATATTAATACCTTCTTGCATGTTTCAAGTTATTGGCATTTTATGTTTATAGCATAATAGATACTGAAACCCAGTTACATATACAGGTACACTATAGCCTCAAATGTTAAATTATCGTTTATTTATTCAAATAAGTGTTTAATTAGAAGATATTTTTGACAATTTTTATTTAACTTTCTAATATTGTATGTTCGTATCACAACACAATTCCTGCAAAACATATGTTTTTTCGTCAAAAATTACGTATTAGGACTGTCGGCGCGTCTTCCTCTCACCGGGCGCGCGCCATATGAGCTGCGCGGGCGGGGGACCCTCCCCGACCGCGAGCGCATCTGACCGCAGCCACTTCGCCTACCTGCGCCATGGACTACGGACACTTCCCTATACTCTAATTTGATTATACATAATTCATATTATACAGTCCACTGCTTTCATTTAAAGTCTCCTTTCATTAAAAGCCTACAGAAGTTTGGTCCTTCGAGCCGGATCCTGGAGCTCGCGGCAGGGGACCCTGCCAGTCGGACAGAGGCACGCGCTCGGTGAGAGGAAGACGCGCCGACAAGGACAATTTTTTTATAATCTCGATGACAAACACTCATATAGACTACAGTCCCCAAAGGGTTGTTTTAATCTTTTAATGAAGCTAGTTGTGAAGTTTGCTTGTTATTAATCATTAAAAAACCCCCCTGGGACTGTAGAATAATATAACAATGAGTTTGTATGAAATATTTGGACTGCACTCTTTGCCTGGCGTTACCTAATTTTCCCCTCTACATCACACTATCTACGACTCTGGTATGAAAATTGTATTGATTTTAAATTGCTTAAAATTTTCCACTATAATGTCTATTTTGCGCACTTTTATAGATCATTCAAATATGGATTTTAAAATTGTATAAAAAATATATTTATATCCTGTCATCTGTATGTGTCGAAGCATTTTTATTTTTACCCCAACATTAATTCTATTATAGGACTTCTTTTATTTACGCTTTAAATCCGTTACGGGTCGTCCAGCTCTATACTTTGTACTAATATATATATATATATATATATATATTATATATATATATATATATATATATATATATTATAGTTTCGTATCAGGTATATGGAACCCTAAATTCCTATTGAAATTCAGTCACCTATTATAAAAAATATATATTTAAATTTTGTTGTTTAGGTTTTAATGGCACCCATAATCCCCTAAACAAATTCAAATAAGTATATTTAGTATTGTAGAGTCTTGACCCCGTTACAATTTACATAAAATACGTATAACAATTTATAATACTGTCCTATTTTGATAAACTAAATTTTAAATTACAGTTAAATTTTTACGACCATAGTGGTGCTGTTTCAGTGAAGGTCGTAGATTCGATTTCCTTGACATATTCATCTTCCACTAGAGTTATTGGGTGGGCGCACTGTTAGCAGAAGAAACTTATATTATACTAGCACTGCCCGCGGCTTCGCCCGCGTTCAGATGACCAAAAACCAAATTCTTAGGTTTTACATATTAGTATACTCTTACATTGCAGTTTTTGTATTTTTTCTCAGAAATAAGATATTTTCCCGCGGTAAAAAGTATCCTATATATTGACCCGGATAATCTAAAAAAGCTAGCTAAGGCTAGCTAAAGCTATCACCATACCAAATTACATCAAAATCTCCAGTGGTTTTTCTGTGTTGCGGTAACAGACAGACAGACAGACAGACAGACAGACAAAAATTCTAAAAACTATAGATTCGGCCTCTGTATCGATAATAATGTTTATTTCAACAAGATTTTCCAAAAAATATTTAATGTACAGATTCGGCTTAGTTACAATTTTATTACATGTATAGATTATTCTGACATGTTGACAGTAAGTTTCATGCCACCTGCGAAAATACTTTTAAAATTTCAGCAAATACCGTATCGAAGCTAGAGTAATTTATTTCGTTTCAGCCAAATAAATATTAGGTATATATTTTTGCAAAGTCAAACATAACATGATACTCGTAATAATAATCATAATAGCATCCAAAACACATGTTTAAACTTTTTCAAATACGACAGATTTATGTAAGTGGATGGTGCCTTCCGTGAGGCCAATAAAATACATAAGTATATTTTTGGTATTATTTTTATTTTAAATCTTCTGCTTGACCTTATGACGCCTATGTGGGTTCGGCTTAGTATTTACGCTTCCCATTTCCGCTTATCATCTTATTAATAATGTCCTCCTGACCGATACCGAATATCACTGACAATGACGACACGTTTGGCTCAGTTTGTAGTGACCCTACTTGCTGTGCCAGTGGTCGTAGGTTCGAGTCTCGCTTGGGGCATTTATTTGTGGGATGAGCACGAATGTTTGTACTCCAGTCATGGGTGTTTATATTTATAATATGTATGTATTTAAAATTATATATGTATAGTGTATCAACTATCTGGTATCCATAACACAGGCCTCGTAGCTTAACATGGAGCTAGATGGTGCTGTGTGTTAATGTCCCAACATATTTATATTTTATTTAATGAGACTCGCCAACGCAGAGGATATTATAGTGCAGCGCGTGTACGCGCAGACACTAGTGCACTCTATAATCCTGTTACTCTCAAAATCCAATGGGACGATACTTCGACACTCGCTGGTAGAGTTAAGGCGTAGGACCGATGGCTTTACGTGCTCATAAATGTCAACAAATCGGGCAGACTTCTACTTCGGGTAATTAATATAATAATTAATTATTGGAAAGAAGTGCCTTAAAGTCCGCTAATGGAATGTTTACCGTAATAAAATGCACAGTAACTTCACAATCACATAAATGTAATTATTTATTTCTTCCTTAGGATTAAAAAAAATATTTTTGAAATTTATTTGAAACTACTCTTGTGGTTGTACAACCTACTCGTATGTGTCCTTTAAAAAAGAATTATAAAAATCGGTTTATGCTGTTACATTAAGGACTTTCTGTAGATCAGTCGATTGTGAAAAGATACTTAAAGTATAACTTTTTTTATAATAAAGAAAATTACAAATACACTTAATTATAGTGACAAGAATGCTAGCCGCATTCCCCCTTTGAATGGCAATGCCGATCCTTTGGGCGAAAAATGCGCCAGCCCTTCTGTGACCAGTAGAGGTGATAAGACGAGGTGTTATATCTTTTAAGAAGAGCTTAGCACTTTGACTCCATGGGTCAAGGGTTTCTACAGCAAATGGAATAAAAACATAATTTTGACTAAGAAAGGTGGTGTACTTACGCAACTTAAGTAGTTCAGCTTTCTCCGCCGCGGCTCCCACTTTAGACGCGGTCTCCCTGACATGGGACGGGGCCAATGTAGCGTCCCACAATAGGGCCCGTCCCCTTTCCCAAAGAACCAGCGACAGGCCATCAGGTCTCTTACTATAATACTTATAATAATGTTATACTATAAAGTATAACTAGTGGGAAATAAAAAAGTTTACATCATACTCAAATCATTTATTTAATGCAATAGTCATCAGGTGCATTGGCCACTATCCAGTCTAACAGAGCCGTAACGCGAGTGTTTACGCTCGGGGTAGTTGATGCACAAAATGTCCCGTAGCTCACTATACCGGCGTAGTAAAGCAACCCGTTTGAAAGATCACGGTATAAGAGAGGACCTCCAGAATCATCCTGTAGTAAAATATTAGACGAATTATTCTTATGTAATTTTTGGTGATTCTTTATATGTAGGTACCTCCTTATTTATTTCTAATCTATATATCTAATGAAATGCTGTTTGTTGATATGTACAACTTTTGAGAACATCTGAACCGATTTAGCTATTTTTTTGTTATTACATATATACGTAATAGTGCAAACAAGGTTTTAAAGGAACAAAAAACTATAAATATCCAAAATATTGTTTAATTTTATTTTTTGATTTTTGTCTGAACTTAAAAATCATAAAAAAAGAAAAAAATCTTGACAAGTTAACGTTGTTCGGGTTTATTATAATAATATTGTAAAGAAATAGAATGTTACATTTTTCGTAAACAATAAAACCGGATATCAATAATTAAAGCAATAATTTTAATTTCATTGTTTGTCTGAGGCCTTCGAAGTGCTAACAGCTGGATGAATACCATTATTTGAATTAAAAAATATTAATAAGTTTAAATATAGTCGACTAGCGACTCACCCTCGCTCCGCTCAGGTTCATTCCTACTTACGTTTTAACGTTTAGTATAGATATTTTTCCGCAGTAAAAAGTATCCTATGTGTTGACCCGGATAACCAGCTCTCATTATACCAAACATCAAAATCTGTCCAGCGGTTTTCTCGTGATACGTTCCCAGACAGACAAACAAACAGACAGACAAAAGTTTAAAAAACTACATATTCGGCCTCTGTAGCGATAAAAATATTTATTTTAATAAGATTTTCTAAAGAATATTTAATTTACAGATTCGGCTTAGTTACAATTTTATTATATGTGTAGATTTAGAAACTACAAAAACATAAGAAACTGCTTCAAAAGTGTCAAGGATGCAGTAAAGTCAGTCATAATGTACTGTAGTGAAGATCGTAATACCATTTTTCTTTTCATTATTTTATCAGTTTAATATACAGATAGTACTATCAAATTGGTTGAATTGGTATTATAATAAAAAGATTGAACCGGAAATACCCTTGACAATAAGTTCGTTTAATATTTCAATGTATGCTAACCTGACAAGAGTCCTTTCCTCTTGCGTAAGTGCACATTTGGCGTGGTGTAATAGACCCCATGATGTTGCGACATGTTTCCTGGCTGATAACATTAACATCCACCTTACGCAAAACTGGAGATGTAGGACCTCCCGGCATTAAAGTACCCCAACCTGAAATATATATTTTTTTTTAATTAACATAATATAACATGCCACTAATATGAAAAATGCAAAAGTTTGCTTTGAGTTAAATTAGGAATAAAAGGAGATAGCTTGCTCCTTGATAAGATATCTACTTGTTATTGATCGCTTCTTTTGATTCAAATATCTCATATCATGTAGTAAGCAACAACGCGGTGGGCAGATCTTCTCTTATTTGGTAATGCTACGTACGATAAAGTCAAGTTATAATAGTTCAGAATAAACTCTAATCACTGAGCCCAATGCCAATAGTTACTTTTAAACTAAAAAATTGCACTGGCTTCAAAGTCACTTAAAAAATATCCTAAGGAATGGGTTTTTTTATTATGAACTAGCGACTCACCCTCGCTTCGCTCGGGTTCGTCCCTGGGTTGATTTGTCATACAAACTTTCATCCCCATTTTCACCCCATTAAGACATAATTTCCGGAATAAAAACTATCCTTTGTCCTCCCCAGGCTCTCAAACTATCTTCTTACCAAATTTCATTTAAATAGGTTCTGTAGCTTCGGAGCCTATTCGGTACAAACAAACGAACAAAAAATCAAATCTTTCCTCTTTATAATATTAGTATAGTAAACTGTTTACTATTTATTGGCGATCATACGAAACCTCCTATTTTTTGAAGTCGGTTAAAAGTAGCAAAAAAGTTATTGTAGCGGAATAATTATTTTAGCTTGACATCAATGACAGATAGTTTTTTTCATTATTACAATTTTAAATTGCCAGAAGTTGAAGTTTTTACTGCACTTTAACATGCTTAGTAAAATCCGCTTCTCCAGTTATTCTTTTTATAAGATAGGCTTTTTATGAAATATACACACAAATAAAAAGTTTAGAACGCTAAGAAATAATTAACTGCTTACACTATTTTTCTTGTATATATTTATTTATCTAGTTCTATACATTTTTAGAGTAAGATTTTTTTTTCGTTTATTAAAACAGAAATTGATTTTAAAAATACTTTTTTCTTGAATTTATATATTAACTAGCGGACCCGACAGACGTTGTCCTGTCTACACGTCTTTAATTTGAAAATTTCAAACTTTTTTTAATAATTTTTTTGATGAAAATTATTATTCAAATTGTGAATCTAAACCATTCCCAGATCCCCTTGAACACACACAAAAAATTTCATCAAAATCGAGTCAGTCGTTTGAGAGAAGTTCAGTGACATACACACTCACAGAAGAATTATATATATAAAGATATATGTATGTTAAAAATTTTACGTACCTATAATAGTAACTGGAGACCCAGTGAAATCATCGTTGCGGAACCTAAACGGTAAGCAGACAGGACCAACCAGAGCCGAAAATCTTATTTGCCCTGCTAATCTCACTATCGCTATATCATAGTCGTAATTCGAACTGAAATAAAATTTATTCATGTTATTATATTTAATAATATTTTAGCATATAAATAAACTCTTCTACATAAATTCTTATTCAACGTCGATCACAAAAGTACTAAATACACAATCCCGTGCAAAAGTTCTCTTAAAACAGTCACCAATTGTGTTTACGTAATTGTTCTAGTTAAAATAAATAAACAACAATGTAAATTAAACCTTAAATGCAATATTAAAAGTTGTTTTCACAAAAAAATAAAATTACAAGCACATATTTTTATTTTCTGCCAAAGCCTAGCCAAATTTCCTGTACGGATTTAAAATATATGACCTCATTTTCAAATTTTCAATGATCAGAGCGCAGAAATCACCGTTCAATTTATTTTTAAATTATTTATATAACATATTTAAGTAATTTTACATCATAAACTATTAAGGATTTCTTTCGCCTTACTTCCTCTTAAATATATACATTTTTCTATCAATTCCTCTGTTTTTGCATGTACTAATCTCATCAATTTATTGATGTTAGAACTTACGGTGTATATTGCGGATGTACTAAAAATGATGCAACTCTGAAAGCTTGCGTCGCTGAAGCGTCAGCTGAAAGTAAAAAAATATCGAAAAATAAAAAAAAATGATAAAAATAATGGGGTTATAGATTATACAATTTATATAACAAATTAATTAAGTTATATTAGGTACTGTGTACAACTACTTCCACAAATACTATATTTGCAAATTAAAATATTCATTTCAATTCTCTTATTAATGGCTTCAAAGCGTGTCAGTGGATCACAGATGACTTTGCCAATGTCACGTAGAATGAAAAAGACAATATTACAATATTTTACGTGTTCCTACAATGTTTTGTTCAAAAAAAAATGATTTTCCTACTCTGACCTTTATACGAAAATAATATAGAAATAGCGGCTCACCCTCGCTTCGCTCGAGTTCGTCACTAGTTACGTTTTAAATATATATAAATAGTTATTACCCAGCGTTAGCCATATAAATTTTAATATGGTTGTTAAGTATTCTTAAATTTTATAATTTTCCGCGCAATTTTTTAATTTTTTTTCTACATAAGAACCTTCTCCTGACAATAACAAACACAACAAAAAAAAATAGTGAAATCGGTCCAGCCGTTCACGCGTGATAGCCTGACCAAGGGAAATAGGGATTCATTTTTATATATATAATATATAGAATAATCCTTTAGCACTACAAAATACTTGCCTCCTGCACTGGTGTCGTGGGCTCCCACAACAACCGCTAATTCGTTTCTATTTTTCGACACCACGCAGTGTGCTGCGGTGACCACATAATTTGCAGAAATGATTACCCCACCACATTTAATGGCGCTCTCTTCTTCGTAAACAATACCGGCCATCATTGGAAACTCGTGTGGCCTAGTTGGTTCTCCGCCAACAATTCGATTCTTGGAAAAGAATTTTATCAGCACTTAAATAAAATTAACATACTAGTATATAGAATATACTTAAAATTAAATATATGTTGATATAATCTTAGGAATTTCTATCGAATTTGATAGCCTGATTGATCTCAAATCATTTATTGTAGAACATGTCTAACTAATTGAAAGGGGCTTACCTTTTATACTTGTATTTATTTTACTTGTGAAAATTTAAGGTATTCACTACTCGCACGTTAATGAATACTAACTTATTTTTCCAAGGCAATTTTAGGTCTTATAGTCTACAAACAAATCAGTAAAATGATTGTGCCAAAAGAGTAATAACAAAACAATAACGGCAGCTGTTCACATAGATTAAACGGTAGAAATTTACACAAAATATCATAGCCTATAACCTGTCTGGGACTTAGACACTAGGTGTCGTAGCGATAAATTACGAAATTTATTATACCGGAATCCTCTCCATTACATAAAAAAATCTATTATTGGCACAGTGCATATCTGAGTTAACCTAACTAGTCCACCAACTTTAGCCAAATTGCCAGCCTGGTGGACTAAGACCTGATCCCCCTTGTATTGAAGGGAGTTCCATACCCACCTGTGGGATGTTAACAAGGGCTGAATACAATTATATTTACCACAGACTGATATCCACAGGAGCATGAACTGGGCGGAGATTGCAACACTGCTGTCAACTCACACATAAATCTGCCCCCAGTACTAAATTGAGTTGTGATTAGACCTGAAGAATTTGATGATAACGCATTAAAATTTATAGTTATCCACGCAAAGTAAAGAAATGACATAAAGTAGTCTATATATATAATAAAATTGTAACTAAGCCAAATCTGTACATTAAATATTTTTTGGAAAATCTTATTGAAATAAACATTATTAACGATACAGAGGCCGAATCTATAGTTTTTAGAATTCTTGTCTGTCTGTCTGTTACCGCATCACAGAAAAATCACTGAAGGGATTTTGATGAAATTTGGTATGGTGATAGCTGGTTATCCGGGTCAATATATAGGATACTTTTTACCGCAAGAAAATGTCTCATTTCTGAGAAAAAATACAAAAACTGCAATGTAAGAGTACCTATACTAATATGTAAAACCTAAGAATTTGGTTTTTAGTCATCTGAATGCGGGCGGAGCCGCGTGCAATGCTAGTAGGTATATATGATAGATACTTAAGATACCTTTTATAATTAAAGTTGAAAGCCTAAAGCAACAGTGGTGAAAAAATCAGCTTGCAGTCAACTGAATGTCATCCTCGAGCTATGAAAAAGTATATAAGCTTCCATCCATCTCATCCAGCATAGAAATAAAGTATTTTACTTACATCCTCGTATATGTCGAGATGTAGATATTGATAGATAATATAAATGTATTTCTAAACTTACCCACACTAATGGTTCGTCCAGTAGAAACTGTGTTCAAAGTGCCGCGACCGCAATAAGTTTCCGCTGAAGTGAGCTGTGGGTCTCCACTCCTCGATATCAGCAGACGATCTCCTGAACATGATGAAGTCTGAAAGAGATAATGGAACAAAATTACTAACCCAACCTTTGGAAAATTCTAATGACGTCTTTTGTACTTCTACGAACATAGGCTTAGTTATGTCGCATTATCTATACCTATAATAAAATTGTAACTAAGCCGAATCTTTACATTAAATATTTTTTTTAAATTTTATCGAAATAGACATTATTATCGATACAGAGGCCAAATCTATAGTTTTTAGAATTTTTGTCTATCTGTTTGTCTGTCTGTTTTTCTGTCTGTCTGTTACCGCATCACGGGAAAACCACTAGGGATATTGATGAAATTTGGTATGATCGTAGCTGGTTATCCGGGTGGTTGCTCCTGGTACTTCTCTGATAGCAGAGTGGACTGTGGAGCAACCCCATGGTTGTGGTGGTCTGCTTCGGCAGACCTGCCGTCGGGGCGTCGTAGTTGAATGCGTAAGCGATCCTGCGACGCCCCATTAAGACGGGGGAAGGTTTTTTTGGGTTTTAGTGGGTAGTACTGGCTGTATTACGCCGGTGAGTCCCACACGTCGTGCGTAAATGCATTTCCCAACGTTAAAAAAAAAAAAAAGCTGGTTATCCGGGTCAACATATAGGATACTTTTTACCGGGGGAAAAATGAAAATCATTTCTGAGAAGAAATACAAAAACTGCAATGTAAGAGTATACTAATATGTAAAACCTATGAATTTGGTTTTTAGTCATCTTAACGCGGGCGGAGCCGCGGGCAATGCTAGTAAACTATAAAATACCATAAAGTTGGTAGTATTTGTCGTTATTGGAATTAAACTGAAATATTTTTTAAGTGGAGTGAAATATTTTATGTGGCTCCAATGGATGTCCGAGGTTCTGGGTTTTAATTCTGGGTCAGGCAGAATTTTTCTATTACAAAAGTAAAACCCCGGAGTTTGAAAAATATCGGAATTATATCTATGAGCATTGCAGAGCGCGTAAAGTCTTTTTTTTTTGGCTTTTTTTGGCTTCGTTTTGGCTTTCAGTTCTCATCCCATAGAATTATGAAAGTAAATATCACAGGGTATAAACTTAAATTTGCTTATGCTTTATGCACAAGTTTAAAAAAAAATGTACCAATCAAAAGTTTTAACAGTATTGGCCGTTGTAAACTAAAAACATTTTGTACGATATTTATCTTAACGTAATACCCAAAATTTCATAGTTCTTTGCTAAGAGAAAAGCCTGTGTCCTCCAAATATCGGACTAATAATATAAAAGTGACATTTTTTGTGTATATTTGTTCTTTCTTCTCGCTGAAACGACTGAATAGATTTAGATAAAATACAGCACACAGATAGACTAAGATTTGGAGCACCACATAGGCTACTTAGTTTTGGCAGCTAGTGACGCACTCGAATAGAGTATGGATAAGTTGCTAGATATAATCGTATTTTAAAACATTTTTACCTGAGGCAAATTAATGTCGATGCAGTTCAATCTGCAATTGTAACCGACGGGGCATGTCGCTATCCATCGACACGTTATCCCTCGATTATAGCTGTTGGGATAGTTTGGACTATAGATGTAATATGTTCTGCCTACGAAGACCTGAAGTTACAAAATATATTGTAGTGCTTATATAAGAGGAGAAGAGTGATGCGGGTATGATGAATGGCTGATGTTAGATATTACAAGGTTTAAATGGACGCACAAGTCATTAAGTAAGAGCAAGTCATTGTACTCGTATAATCGCTTATGAATAGAAATTTTATATCAATCATAGAATCATAATACTGATTGTGAATGTAGAATGACGTCTTGTTGTTGTTTTAGGGCTTATGCTCGCTCCACCCGTACACTAATTATCTGATTAACTTACTTAATAATTATTTATTCTTATAATCTATATTAATTTTATAAACGTGAAAGTTTGTGAGTATGGATATTTGTTACTCTTTCACGCCAGAACGGCTGAACGGATCTGGATGAAATTTGGCACAGAGATAGATTATAGCCTAGAATAACACATAGGTTATTATCCCGAAAAAATGTAAGGTTCCCGTGGGATAGGTTTGTTTTGTTTTCCGTTTTGTAGTTGTTATATACTTTTTTACGACCAAAATATTTTTGAATTATTTTTACAAAATGTTAACATAGTTATCAAATAGTAAAATAATTCTGTAAATAACGATCAATTGTTAGGAATTTTATGCCTATGCAATTTCACTTCTTTAATTTTGGAATTCAACTCATACCAACAAACGATAATGTTCTTTTCCACACATACATTGAATTAACATAATTAATTAATGAAACATTTATCTGACATTAAATTAAGGCAGTTTCATATGCAGGAACTTCTAAATAACTTACATTTTGTACAAAGTCACAACCAAGATCTTGCGCTTGACAATATCCTAACAGTAAAAGTATTAAAGCTGCTCCTCTATACATCTGAAAGTTAACAGTTAGAAACAGTTTATACTTGTTTACTTATATTTTTGTCTGCGTGTTTGTTTTTAAAAAACAAATGTGAACTCAATTTTAAAGTAACTTCAAAAAGTTCGGAGAACCTTTTGCTGAAGAATTTATTTTTCTTCAGACATTTTGATGACATCTTTTTGAGATTAAAAATTACCTTTTACTTTTTTAAATAAATTTTTTAAATTTTAATTTTTCCTGATTTCATTGCTTGATTGTCTAGCGGTTCTTAAGAAACATCACTTACATAATTTCAGACATATAACTCCAAGGAAATTGGTTATGACGTACAGTTTTATTAAGTAAAAAATTCATATTTACGTAGTTCCATACAGGTCTAAAACCCCACAAGCCCCACACTGTTTGTCTTGAATTTCTATATTTTTTTAGCTATACTAGTGGTAGCCCAGTGGTAACGCTTGGAAAACCAAATGAAACGGGTTCAAGCCCATCTTACACTTCTATACACGATATAGTCATATGCGAACAATTTTCAACATGATTACTGTTCGCCTTACGGTGAAGGAAAAGATCAGAGCAAAACATATCGGAGAGACCTTAACTAGTTTTCGAATAACATGTAAAGTCCGCCCACTCGGTATTGGCCAGCTTAGTGGACTACTGATACCCCTTGCATTAAAAAATGCGAGAGGTAGGAGGGCGGCTCACGCCCAGTTCATCTCTACTTCTACCCCTAATTGTAGTTATGGCTGATCTAGCAGGGTCGAAATTTAGAGCATCTTAACGATGTGCATTTAATACGGTGACATTTTTTGGACAGTGAAGCTAACAAAGGGCTTGAGTCAAAACATTTTAAAGCACCACTCTTCCTTTGTCGTAAAACTTAGTCATGACTCATGTTTACTTTTATCGTTTGTTCATCTGTATCTAAAGGTTTTATCGTCAGTATCTTTATTATCGTCTTATGAACTAAATTGAAGATAACTTTTCTTGATATTAATCAATTACTAAGAATTTTTTTAGAACAATATCGATTGATCGAGTGATAGAGAATAATATATATAAAAAAATTATAATACAACAACCTGTAGTACCTATCTGTATGTATTTTAAAATTCTGTTTCGAATCATTACATACACATTATAACCGATAAGGAGGCCGAATCTATAGATTTTAGAATTTTTGTCTATCTGTCTGGCAACGCATCACGAGAAAACCACTGGTCAGATTATGATGAAATTTGGTATGATGATAGTACTTCTTACCGCGGGAAAATGTCTCATTTCTGAGAAAAAATACAAAAACTGCAATGCTTACATTGTTAGTATACTAATATGTAAAACCTGAGAATTTGGTTTTTGGTTATCTGAACGCAGGCGGAGCGGCGGGCAATGCCAGTATAAAAATATATACTTGAACGATAGGTAAGCCTAGGTTTAGCCTAAGAATGTAGACATTATTTTCCACAAAAAGTTAGACCAAATTCAAAATCTTTCTCACTCAAAAAGCCCTCAACGCTTAAGGCGTTTTTTATCGTATAAAATACCCACAAAAAATAGGTACATTCGAATTGAGTATCACCTCTTTTAGGACTCTTTCGGACTATTAACATAATTGCGAAAGTTTGTATGTGTATATTTATCACTACTTAACGCCAAAACGGCTGAATGGATTAAAATGAAATTTTGGTATACAGGCAGACTGTGACTTGGAGTTATAAATAATGCATACAATTTTGCTAGGCACCTAGGGAAACCCGAGCAAAACGAGGTTAAGCCGCTAGTATAATGATATTTTTAAATAAAATCTAGACTTTTTAGATATTTTTCCTCCTTACACAGTATACACTTTTATTAGCTTTACTTATGATTCTGTAGTGCAATTCTTCGAAACAAAATCTTCAAAGTTTATTTTAACCTACTCCAAGCAGCGGACAGTAAAATAATTCATTAGCATCGAGCTGATACGACAATGAGAACAGGAGGTTAATATTGGAAATCTTTCAATAGTTAGGAAAACCTTTGAGATGAGCTCTTTTTTTATTGATCATTTTTTTATCATTTTATTGTCTGAATTATGCATAACTAAGTTTTATTTCAATCGGTCCAGCAAAAATTAAAACATATCAAAACGAAAACATAACTAATGCAATTAATCAATTACATTTCCGTCGAAACATGCAGATACTTGAGCTCTACGTTCTACGCATTCGGGCGAGGATAAGGCGCTAGTAATAAATATTTAATTTTTCAGGTCATCGGTTTATCGTTCCATAATTTTTTACCATATCACGTTATCAATACTTTTATTTAAGATATTAAATTATACAAACTAATAATTTTGTATTATCATCTTGTTGTATCCTAATTTTTATAAATGATTTTCATTCATTAGGGTTTTTTACTCTAAAAAGGGTAAGTTTTCAACGACAGTGAAAAAACAATTTACTAAAATACTAGCATTGCCCACGGTCCGCCCGCGTTCAGATGACCAAAAACCAAATTCTTAGATTTTACATATTACGTATACTCTTACATTGCATTGTTTGTATTTTTTCTCAGAAATGAGACATTTTCCCGCGGTAAAAAGTATCCTCTATGATGCGGTAACAGACAGACAGACAGACAAAAATTCTAAAAACTATAGATTCAACCTCTGTATCGATAATAATGTTTATTTCAATAAGGTTTTCCAAAATAATATTTAATGTACAGATTCGGCTTAGTTCCAATTTTATTATATGTATAGATTAAAACTTTTTGATAAAAGTTGATTATATTTGATTACTTATATGTATATGCATGAGGTCCTATCAACGCTAAATATTAGTTCTATAGCCTGCTCTAGCAATTAGACCAAAAAACCGTTTTCAAAAAACCTATAAGTTATGTGTATGATTTTCTTTTTTTATATGATCGTCTAGGATCGTATAGGAACCCTTTAACACCCTTGCAATTTAATTAAAAAAAGCATTAAAACCTAGATTTTTATTAGCAATACAAATATTATATTTTTATTTATAAATATATATTAAAAAAGATACTTACACTTGTAGCGACCACTCCACTGGCTTAATTTGAAAGCAATAATTTAATAAGTATAATCAATCTAACTAGACGATAAGTAACCACTTAAGATTATCAAAATAGTAATTATTTAGTATTATACAAAAATATGATAAAAGTGATAAGTAAAAAAAAATATTTTCTTGTTCCAAATATATACGGATTCAATGTTTATAAACATTAAAGTTTCATAATATTTTTCCTTTGCACTAAAACCATATCTAAAAAAAAGAATCGAACTCCCGCCAAAATTTAATTTAACACAAAATAATTAAACGAACGGTAGACGTATGAGGGCGACAACTGAAAAAGAGCGCTGGTCTATCTTAGGCAGATCACTTCCGAACCAAGAGCCAACAAGATAAAAGTGGTATTATTATATGTACATTACAAGTGAAAACTAATTTTATCTTAATGGATTAACGTGACATTTAAAACATACTCGATGAGGGAAGTATGTATATAGTGCAATCATACAAGATAAGCACGGTATTAAATAAATACATTTTAGATAGATCTTTTAAAAACTTTGAGAAAATCCATACTAACATTATACATGTGAAAGTGTGTTTGTATGTCCTTCTTTTACGTCAAAACAGAGTGACGAATTGGCGTGACTTTTTGTGTACAGATACTCGTAGTTGGAGGGCTGGAGAATGATACAGGCTACTTTTTACCGCGAGAGATTATCTCATTTCCACGGGAAAACACGTTATAATACAACCCAAAAAACTTTTATGATTAGAATTACTTAAAATTTGGTTAAATACTTGTTTTTCGAAATTCATCCCATAAGAGGGTAAAATAGGGGATGAAAGTTTGTATGAAATCAATCATTTTAGAGAGTTTTTTGTAGTTTTAGCGTGAGCTAAGCCGCGAATCCTTAAAAATATTATAGGTATACATACTTTTGCTTATAATATATAAAATATATTAAAATAACTTTTGTGCTAGATATACCTACTTATAATAACTATATCGTAATCTCGATTACATGCATTCTTCGGTACACAAATTCTAAGTGACTTCAATGACTTGCCATGTAAATATGCAAATTATGTAAACCATGGCTTGCTCCATTTGTTTTCAAACATATTATAACATATTCTACTGACAGTTTCCAGATCTTTCAAGCATTTTACTAGAACCAGCTATCTCTAAGAGAAATATAATGCACATTGTACAAACATTTTTCTTTACAACTTTTTTCTCCCATGACCACAAAAAACATATTTTTACTAGATAACCTAGATTTTCACTTTTCCCGCTACACTAAAGAAGCTCATAGAAAGAGGCAATCTTGTAGTCTGAAACGTAAATAGACTTATTATATAACCAGGCATCTCACTACCTTTCAGGCGCAGAAATAAAAGCGTCTTTAAAATGTACAGTTAGTATAAAATGCATCATTAATATTAGCTACGAGTACCTATGTAATAAATATGTAAGTGTTCTTATCTAAGTGCAATGACATGCGGGCCAAGGACGAGTTTAGTGAATACATAACTATGTTTTATGTGGGTATGATTATAATTTGGATCGAAATTTGATTTGTTTCTATTGTGTGTCGTCTTACGAGCACTTAATATAATGAATTTAACCATAATTCTATCCTTTAAACGATGAGTAAGGGCTTACCTGAAATGCGAATGAGATTTTGTTTTGGCCATGTCACCCACGCTTTTGTATATATGCTAGCGCCTGGTGGACTATTAAGTCTAGTAAGGTTCTCTTATACGTGTATATTTTTTCACACTGTCATGCATCACCATATACAATTAGTGGTGTGGTGATTAGTGTTGAAAATGGTTCATACTGCATAAATATATGGAAATCTCAATGCATCATTATCAAACAGACAAACAAAGACACAAAATTCTGTAATAATTAAGGTCTCAATAATTTATCCCCTTAACAAATTTTTGCAATAAATATGTAACTAATGACCCTTACCTATTTTATTACGTAAGTAAATCGGACTGCTTTTTTAAATACGAAAATTTGTATTGTTTATTTGTGTATGCTTGTTTCTCTTTCAAGCAGAAACGGCTAGACGAATAAGGATGAAATTTAGTAAGCCAATGGACTATGACCTGGAGACTGAAGTAACACATAGAGGCATTGTTAGGCATCTAGAGACGCCCCAGAGCAAAGCGTGGATAAATCGCTAGTAATTTATATTATTTAAAACTAGCGATTTAGCCTTGCGTCGTTTGGATGCGTCCCTAGATACCTTTTTCTAAAATAAAAGTAGCCTAAGTTACTCCTTATGACATCCAGTATCTACCAGTGTAAGTCCCATCAAAATCAGTCCAGTCTTTTCGGAGATTAGCCGGAACAAACAGACAGACAGGCAAACATACTGACAGATAAAATTTTAAAAATTGTGGCTTAAAAAGTGTGGTCTTATTAGTACCGTATATACTTTCATATGCATTTAGTAAGAAGCTGTTACTTCGACATTACAAACAAACACTTCAATTTTATTTATATTATTATCACTATAGATTATTATGCCTCATTTCATTTTCACATGTACTTACATGCATAAGGCTCTATGTATTACGATATTGTTCTTATACTTAAGTCTTCGGACGTCACGTTTCTTCACTATCCTTTCAATGTTCATGTCACGGTTTCATCGTCCTTGCTTTTATCATATAAGGTTGTCAAAACAAACAAAAGTCTTTTCAGTAGTTGTTTATATAGGACTGACAAACAAGATTTTACAACTAATAAATATGTAGGTACATAATATATTATGTACATCTATACTTATTATAAAAATAAGTCCCCCGGCCGCGTCTTTCTGTCCTCCTGTCTGTCCTCCTGTCTGTCTGTACGCGATAAACTCGAAAACTACTGAACGGATTTTTATACGGTTTTCAACAATAGAAAGAGTAATTCTTGAGGAAGGTTTAGGTATATAATTTATTATGCTTTTATGTAAATTAGCTGAAATACGGCAAATGGGAACTTTCCACGCGAACGCCGCGTAAACTAGCAAAGATACAGTTAAGTAATGTACTAGAGAATTCAAAATCTATAAAAATGCTACAAAAAAGTCCGCGATAGCATATCTCTATCTCTTACGGTTGACTTACAATAACCACTTTTATGTTAACATTTTTAATTAAAAACATTACGTTATTTTCAAAGTTATTTTCTTTAGTTCGGTATTAATCCTTATCCAAATGAATATTTTAGTTAGCTTAGTCATTTAATGCAGATTAAAATTGCTCTTTACACTAAATCAATCAGATGAATAGTTTTTGAGATATCGTTGTTAGAAGTAATTAGTAGCGAAACATTTTTAATGCTTGGCGAGCATTGAGATGCCTACGGCGAGTCCATCCCCTCTGCCCCGCATCGCTCGACCGCCTGCTCAAGCTATATAAACCGGGCGATGTAGCGCGCGATCCTAGGATACTTTTTACCGCGGGAAAATATCTTATTTCTGAGGAAAAATACAAAAACTGCAATGTAAGAGTATACTAATATGTAACACCTAAGAATTTAGTTTTTGGTCATCTGAACGCGGGCGGAGCCGCGGGCAATGCTAGTGAGTTATAAAGGGTTTTTATATTTTAATAACAATATTCGAAATCGCGATGTGGCAAGTCAGAATCGCACTTGCCAGATTTGTTTTAAGATGCTATCTGTACAATATTAGGCCAATGTAAAATGGTATGAAACAACCTTGACTCCTTTAAAAGCATGAAACCTCGATAGAGGTTATATTTATTTATTTAGCTGATAAGATTCAATAAGGGCAAATAATAAAAACACTGTTTTTAATAAAATCTTATTTTATTTATATTTATATTTTGTTTTTTTTTATTTATAACCATAATATATATGTAATGACACATTCAAAGTTGCATCTAAAGACACAATAGAGTTTATCTAGACTAGATATAGACTAGCATTAAGCTCGTTTTCTAAGGTTGCTAAATATTTTATAACTTTTAGAAAGATTCACGTACTACAAATAATACTATTATATACTAACGAAAATAAAACCAAAGGTAGCTGATGTATCAAAACAATTTTAGATAAATATCCGTTCCTTAAAAAAATCTTTTAACATCCTTTACTTCTTTTACATACAAACGTTATATATCTATAATATTTTATGAAATACAAAAACAATCTAGGAAATATGTAATGCAAATTCATTAAATAAAGAAAAAGGTACAGAAACTAACCTACATACTTAATAATATCAATTTGCGACTAATACACAAAAGTATTGGAAAGACCTAGAAAGTCCTTATTTTTACATAATATAATATTAATTCTAGGGGTATTTCTACATACTAGTGATTACCGTTTAGTCGAAAGGATCTATCGGAATAAATAATTTTATGATGATGAAGATGTTCTCCCGACCGATTCCGGCCACAGCGGCCAATCTCATTGAGACTAGCCAACTGCGCAGGAGATATTATAGTGCACAAGTGTACGCGCAGACACAACGTGCACTCTCTATTCCTGTCACTCTCATACTCCGGTGGGACGACCACTCGACACGACCGGTGAGAGTTAAGGCGCAGGATTATAATATTAATAATATTATAGAAACTGCACTTCCCTTCCCACTTCCCTTATTTTATATCTATAAAATTAAAATGCAGTTTGTGCTCGCGAAGTCTACTATTTGCAGAACTACTAGTTTATTAAGTAATGACAAATCTAAAAAAGTATTAAAAAAAACAAATAAAAATTGTTAACTAATTAAGCTTCACGAATATTATTTACATTAAAATTTCATCATTTTTGATATTACTTCAAAGTGTGTGTTATGCCTTTTTTGCACTAAGAACCTAGCGTTATATTAATTTATTTCTTTCTTCTATCCTTCTCTTGATAATATCCACCTGGGCCTGGTACAAACTTCACATTGGACCTCTCCTTCTTATCCAGGTTTTTTGGTGAACTGTCTGACGAGTCAGAAACTATGCCTTGAAGACGATGTGTGTTTGTTTGGCTAAGTCTGTAAAAAAATGATAGTAAGTATTAGAAAAAAACATCTAAAGTATAGTATTAATGGCACTGGTCGTTTTTTTGAAAGGTGAACTAGGAACTAGGGAAGAGTGACGTAAAGGTTCAAATCCCGGATCTCGCACCTATTTTCACGAAATTTTTAATTACACTTTAATATTTTCATGAAATTTAAATTTTTATCTGTCTGTTTGTACCGACTAATCTCCGAAATGACTGCACTGATTTTAACGAGACTTTCACTGGGAAATAGCTGATGTTATAAAAAGTAACTTGGCTACTTTTTTTTGAAAAATAATTAGGCTTCCGCTTAAAAAAAAATTAAAAACGTTCCTAGGGACGCACGCAAGCAAAGCGAGGATAAGTCACTAGAGTCTAATAAGAAAGGAGATTTTTTAAAATAAAACTATCTTTTCGGATTATGTCGCGGATTTATTTAGATTTTTGTTTCTTTTTTTGTTTAACAGCAATCATGGTCACAGGAGAGACTAAGGTTATAGACGTTGTATATGTACGTACTTGTTACAGACAGTGCCCATAATCTCCTACTAAGTAATCTAAGAAAGTATTATAAGAATGGAGATGTTCCCTCACCTGACCTCCTCCACATCAGCCACCTTGTCGATGAGGCTGCGTATGATGCCCTCCTTGTGCTCCAACGCGAGGGACGCCCGCTCCAGTTCCCTGCGGCACTCCGCCTGCGCGTGCGCCGCGCGTCGCTCCTGCTCCACTATACGACGCTCTAGCTCTTCTAGAGACGTGTGTGCCCGGGATTTGACTATCTGTTAGAAATCAGATTAAATAAATAATAAAGAAATGACCGATTTCGGCCACGAAGGTCAATATAAATAAGACTAGCCAACAGTGCAAGAGATATTAGGTAAATATAAATATGTTGGGACATTAACACACAGCACCATCTACATTGCATTGTAAGCTACGGGGCTAGTGTTATAGATACCGGATAGTTGATACACTACACATATATAACTTTAAATATATACATATTATAGATATAAACACGCGTGACTGGAGTACAAAATATGAATGCCCCCAGCGAGTCCCGCTGGGACCCGCGACCGTTGGCACAGCATGTAGGGTCACTACAAACTGAGTCGACAAAATATTATATTGTACAAGTATAGTGTACAAGTGTAAACGCAGACACAAGTGCACTCACTATTCCTTTTCACTCTAGTTTTCGAGTTCGTAAGTAAGTGTGTTTGTTCACTTCACGTTGTAACAGCTAAACGAATTTGAACAATTGTTAATTGGACTGCATTTCCCTTTATAAAATCAGTAAAAACTTAAAATTCTAGCTATACTTTTTGTTCCATCATTAAACCACGAAATAGTATCAAATATGAAATCTGTATGAAACTTCGAAGTAGATTTAAATCGTCTTCCAAAATACGATACGTAGTTACAAAAGTGCGAGTCTGACTCACACATCGAGGGTTCCGTAGAAACATTAAAAATAAATTTATATTCGCAAATGTTTTTTTTGTTTTTTCCCCTTTATATGTGCTATAAGAAATTGCTTCTTGCAAAATTTTATGATTCGTGGTCAACGGGAACGGTGCGAGAGTCAGAATATGCGACATAAACGTCCGTATCTTTTGAATGCGTTGACTTAGAAGTTTAATTTATTCACAGTTCCAAGGGATTGCAGACTTGAGTATTTAATATTCATTTCAACTTGATACCTCCCACAAGTTTCTAAGAAAACCGGACGGACAAGAAAGTGATCCTATAAAGGTTCCTTTTTTCTTTTTGAGGTACGGAACCCTAATACTGACCTTAATTTCCATCTTGATCCTTTCCAGGGCTTCCAACGCTTTCCGTAGCGGTTCATTTTGCGTTTTCTTCCTTCTCGCGCGAGTCGCTCTGGCAGCCGCCGACCGCGCCCTGTGACGGAACACCACTGCTGCCTTTCTATATAATCTGTGGGAAAAATAGTTTAAATTATTTATTATATAAGCTATTATTTGTTTTTTTCCACAACTTAACTGGTTTTGTGTTTAAATATTTTTTATCTATTTTTATCTTTATATATAAAATGTGAAAGTACATATACAATAACTGTAAGAAGTCAATATTAGTCCCGCTGAGTTTCTTTCGCCAGTTCTTCTCGGGTCTGAGGCTTCTTCTTTCCGAACTGGTAGTAGACTCATGACGTTCAGTAAAAAATTGTAATAATTTAATGCTAATTAAAATATTTTGATTTTGATTATAATAGCAACACTAAATAATAATAACAGCTAAAATTAAATACATAATATTGCCATATTCAATCATAAAACTTATTAAGAAATTTAAATAATGTTTAGAATTAAAATTAACAAATATGTATTGTAAGTTACTTTGGTGTCATTTTTGTATTTTTGAAATCATTTTATTATATTGTGGGTAGGCAGTAGGCAATGTCTGTAACAACTATATAATGACCTTTGAGACGTCTAAAATCTTAGCCTCTCCCGTGACCACGCGCGCTGTAAAGTATTCGACCAAACATTAATAAATCCGCGAAAAAATTCGCAAAGATAGTTTTATTTAAAATGTCAAATATTCGTGTAAATCTAAGAAAGTATTATGTTAAAATATTATTTAATTTAAAATTTTAGCTTGTACTATTATAAATATTACAATTTTTATAAGCGTTTATTAATAAGAGATATTATTACTCAGTATTGCTATTATTAAGTACGTTAATTTAACGCAAAAATACCACAAATATTATATTCTAAACAAAGTCTTTCAGTGTTTATGTACATATAGCGTTATGTATTTGTATGTATTAAACTGTGATTTAATTGGTTAATTTTATGATAAGAATATGTGCAATATTCACCTGACGTTTTTTAATGCTGCGCGTAATTCTTCTTTAACGATTACATTCTCTTCACAAATCTTCTTATATTTTTCGTCTGTTTTGTGTAATTCTTCTTCTAATTTCTTTATTTGTTCGTTCTTACGTTCTGTATCCATTGAGTATTGGTGTTTTAGTTCTTCTAGCAGTCTGTAGAAATAATTTAGAAAATAAAGAAACTATATTCAATCAATTATATTACATTATATAGAAGTTATTATTAATTAAAATTTAAAATTATTTTTATTTTTCTTAATATTTTTTTATTTAAATAAAACATTAATTAAGTATTTTGTTATAAAGCTGGAGCGCTTCCAATTATGTACATAAAATCGGTATAAAAATACATACAGTACATGGTCATGAGGACATCCATACTAATATTATAAACGTTAAAGCGTGTTTGTTTGTTTGTTTGTTTGTTTGTCCTTCTTTCATGTCGAAACAGAGTGACGATTGGCCTATTTTTTTGTGTGGAGATAGTTGGAAGGCTGGAGAGTGACATAGGCTACTTTTTACCGCTTATCTCATTCCCATGGGAAAACACGTTTAAATGTATTATACTATACTAACATAACCCACAACAACTTATCATACCAAAGATTATATATAATATAATATTCTATCTATTCTACTATATAAGTATTAACACCTTTTACAGTCATCGAGGCGTCTCTCATGCAAATCTGCAGGCACAGTAGAGACTCGTAGAGCGTCGAGCGCCGCCATCTTGCCGGTGGAAGCTTCTAGAGCGGACTTTACTGTGAAGTACTCTCTGTGGACCGTTTCGTAGTCACGGAGCATGGCTGCCACTGAAACATTTTAAAAATAATAAACACCTATATATTAATACATAAAGACAGCTAAAAAAAGCTTAGCATATACTACGTGTATTCGAGGTGCGTTACAAAAAAACTTTTTGTATATTCCACGCTTAAAAACGCTGAAAAATTCCTCATGTACCCTAAAAAAATACTTACTTTTCCCTTCATACAACTCATACACTTCCTTCAACTTGAACTCTGCTCGCTCCGCCCTCTCCAACAACGTAGCTCTTTCTATATCGTTTGTCTCTTTCTCCACCACTATCTTCTTATATCTCTGTCTCACTCCCACCAGTTCCTCTTCTAGAACACTCACTTTTTCATTTAAAGCTTTGTTCTCTTCAACAATTTGCTTGGATTTCTTATTCATGTTTTCGAATTGTTTTTCGTAGTCCAAAATTAGATTGTCTTTTTCCTGTAGATTTTCTTGGTAGGCGTCGAATAAAGGCGCTGAAAGGATTTTTTTACTATTTATTTTATATACATAATTGATTTTTTTATAAGACACTTATCTTTTTCAACATTTATAAAATACTTAGCACTGACCTTATTTATGAAAAGCTATTTTAAAACTGTAAAATAATTACATGTGGCGAGATTAGACGTGATGAATTGTATCATATGATATTGTCTTGTGAGATGTTTATTTATTAGATTATAATTCACATTGATATATTTATAAACACAAACCCAAGTATACACAATTTTGTTCAATTGAATATGACAAGTTCAAATTCTGATGGGGGCAAATATTTGCTATGACTACACCATTTTTGTTCTGCGCTAGTAAAATACCGGATTACAAAAGATGATTTGTGGCAAACTTCATCTTAAAAAAATTAATTTAAAAAATTGTATATATATACGTATATGTATATTAGTGAATCACATCAGCTGTAGTACAGTCAAATTAAAAAACACCTCTAATAGCGACGGGCAGAATGCCCGTGACCACGACTGGCGCAACTCAGTCAATACGTCTGGAATGAGATATTTTGCCACTTCACACAGGCGTTCATGTCCCATAGTATCATTCTTATACAATTACGAACAAAATTTATTGTGTATTCAAACATTAATGACAAAACATATCAAAAAAATATTAACACTTTGAGTAATACTTAATATAAAAAAAGTTTTAAAAGAAAATAATATTGAATGTGCATATTACAAGACGTCCGCGATAAACAATAGCATTCCCAAGGAGGGTTGACGTCAGGCAGGCGGCCAGTCGTAAAACTTTTACCTAACCCTTTCAGCAGTATGGAAGATGTACTACGCCGACCCCAAGTCATTGGGAAATGGACAGGGAAAAGATGACAATTAGGAAGAGCAAAAATTTAAAGAGTTATAAGAAGTACCTAGTGCTTGGGCACTCAACAGTCCAGACAGGTCCACTACTCTCTCAGCATGAGATCCATCTTCAGATATTCTATATGTGTGTCCGTCTTCTTCATTTGATTCTGAAAAATATTAATTATTATTTGGTTTTAACCATTTTTTACCAACTTTAAAATATGCCAATAAAGCTGCTTTCAAATTTGCATGTTTAATAGGACACCAAACATAAGCTATTGTACATCATTGTTATTGTACACATAGTTATGTATTTTAAACAATTTTTTTCACAAGCAACCCTTGCTGTACCAGTTTTAAAAATATATGCTGCTCATGTGTTGAGTTGAGAGTCAGTGTGGTGAGTTGGCTTGAGAAAAACACAATTAAGTTCTCTTTTGGGAAAAAACGGAATGACTCACCAAACAACCATATAAATTAAAAATAAATAATAAACTTGAATGGTTAAAAACAAAATAAATAAAAAAAACGTGTGCGTGTACTGAAATACGCACGTAGGAAGTTATACTTCTTTGGCGTAACAGAACAAAAATAGCTAAAGATTTCATCCCAACTCTGTTTGTAAAAGGGATGCAGCTAACATCAACATGTCGCTTTCAGCGTGCATCGTAAAAATCTTACTCTCATATTTTTTTTCAAACGTGCCAAAAGAGGTATAACTTCAAAAATACATATTATTTAAATGCCATAAGAAATAACAAAATAAACGTACCATGCCTTTGACTCAAGCTTGCTGTCAGTATTGATTCGAACCCATCATATTTTTCATTTGGTTTGAACACATTACCCTCCACAGTCAAAGTCGGTGCATTACTACGAAGTCGTTCTTGGTATCTTGATAATTGAACGTTTAACCTGTAATATATTAATAAATAAATATATTAGTACAGAGTCTCAGATGATCTACAAAGTGTAGAGCTATTTTATTATATATATATATATATATATATATATATTCCACTTAATAAAATTAATTTCAGTGACTATAATACTATAACCCCTCAACTGTCGCTGTCATTTTACAAAAATATGGCGCATCTGTCGGCTACTTTTCGAGGGCCTGCGCGAAATATGTACGCATCATTAAAATAACAATATTTATTAACATTTTATATATAAGCTATATATAAAGCTTATATCGTTAGAATCGTTTTAAAATAAACTAAGAATATATATATAAATAAGATCAATTGTATTTAATATTATATAGTTAATTCTAAGTTGAAATTACTGTAAGTGATTTTTTATCAGTATATAGTATGAAAACAGGAATTATTATAAAATAAAACAATTATTTTAAAAACTTTTAATTTCATTTAATTATAGATACAATATTTTATATTAATTGATTAAAACAACACAACTCACTGTACATTTTTTTTACACCACAAGCTTAACAATAACATGTTTCAATTATGGCGACTTAGCGCCGGATAAAAAAAGGGTTGTTTTTTATACTTGAATTCTAAGAGCATTGAAGATCAAGAGATTTAGGATAATCATTTATATTATAGTTTAGTCCACGTACGTTATACTGACAAAGTTTGAGTTCTTATAACTATTTAGTTTACGAGAATTGAACAATAAACCAAACACTAGAAAATAAGTGCTAAAAAATGTCATCTCAAACTTTGGATCGCAGAGCAAATTCTGTTTAAATTTTCTTTAAAATATATTTACACCTTACAATTAAGTGATATTTCAAAATGAAAAATATAATAAAAAGACATGTTGCCTTATTAGAATATTTCAGAAATCAATTCTGTAAACTAACAATTTTACTATAAGAATTACAAGGGACAGCTAAAAAAGTATGGATACGACCAATTCCATCACATCTGAACAGATTATGTTATGGAAATAAAATGATACTAAAACATCAATTCAAAATAAAACAACTTTAAATATTAATTCGGAGAGGAACTATTTTTTTTCTACTGTTTTTAACCTCCGACGCAAAAACTACGGGGAGTTATTTGTTTGACGTGCTGTGTGTTGTGTGTGTGTCTGTCTGTGGTATGGTAGCTCCCGAAGAGATCATCCGATTTTGTTTTTGTTTTTTCTCTGAAAGGTGAATAATTCGGAAGTGTTCTTAGCTATGTTTGATGAAAATCGGTCCATGATGGCCGCCGCCACAAAATAGCGGATTACATATTTTTTCACAACTCCCTCAATATGGGTATCAAATGAATTAGGCTTGACTAGTATAATTTTCGAATCCAAGATGGTCGCCACCACAAAATGGTGAATTACATGTCGGGGTTACTTTTAAATTTTTCATTTATATTTTATAAGATTGAAGTATTGTGCCAGTTACTGTATTGAGTATTTGATGGACTCCATAGTTATAGTAGTAAAAAAAATATAGTAGAGTATAAAAACTTTATAAATAGTACTCACAGATATTTTAAATCTGAAGTAGAAAATTTTGGATGCCTTTTGTTAGGTAAAGGACACTTTTTAATGAATATTGCTTGCAGGTAGAGGCTTTTATACATATTTATTTTAAATGAAAAAAAAAGATGAACACCTATCCTAAAAGCAACAAATACTAATTATTACTAAGATACATAAGTAACTATACTAACCTCCTCCCATATAATGTTCACCACGTCTTCGATGTTCAGTCACGTCGTCGAAACGAACAAAGGCGTGGTATAATATATAAATCAGATATTTTCGAAGTCAGTTCCAGCCGATGCAAAGTAAATCTAATATACTTCGATACATAAAATTCATATTTACGTATTAGATATTTATATCTTAAAATATTTTCGGCTGGCACCGACTTCGAAAATATCTGATTAGGTATCTATTCTAAATGAAAACCTCCGTTTAGTTATTTTTTACATTTTAGTGCCTGGAAGTCGGTTTTTTTAATAAACTGTTATTTATACTACACCCTTGTTCGATTTCACTCTATGGGGTACATTGCCTACAATTGGTCTTTCTTGTTCATCCTCCGATCATAATATTGTAATCTAATAAGGCATGTTTTAAGAAATTTTGGTGCAGCTTCAATAAACATAAAATGCAACATGATACTAGTTTAAGAGATGCAAATAAACTTATTTTTTACCCGACTGCGCGACGCAAAGGAGGGTAATGTGTTTATCAGTCTATGTATGTATGTACATATGTATGTATGACACTCTAGAGACCAAACGCGTGGGCCGATTTCTATGATTCATATGTCGTTAGTTTCGTATTTACGCGAGTGTCATAAGCTATATAATACTCGCGTTATAGTTAAAAATTAAAAATAGTTAAAAAGTAAAATGGCGGATATCAGGCGCCAATTTGTCTGTAAAAAAAAATTCCAAATCAATCGAATTGGCTCTTAAAATAAAGATTTTTGGTGATCACAAAAAAAAAATAAATAACACAACTTATATGTTTAAAGGTAATTTGGGATAAGAAATTGCTAAATATTAAGGCTTTACCTATGAAATTGTCGTTTAATATACAGAAAGTTAAAGTATTGTATTTTTATAAATATTTTTCATTTCTATTAATCAAAATATGCACCCATACTATTGATGCAATTTGATGCAAATGGACCAATATTGTTTTGATGCTAACGTTGAAAGCTGCTGCTATCTCAGCCACAGATTGAGTATCGTCAGCTTCCACTATCGCCTTTAATGCGTCGTTACTGATTTTTGTTTTCGGGCGACCACGGGGTTAATTTTTTAAGATCAAAATTTCGATGTTGGAAGTGTTCAGACCAATAACGAGTTGTGTGTTCGTTTGTAGTGTTCACTCGGCACTCCGTACGCGTCATTAATGTTGCGAGCCGTTTGTGCGGGATTGCTACCGCGATGGAACTAGTATTTCATAATTACTTGTATTTTTATTGTGTTTATATTGATGAAAAACAAACAAATGTAGTGAAAACAAAACACTAATTAATAAACAAACGACTGAATTCAAAAATAGAACTCCATACTTTTAAAATAAAATTCATTTGAATTTAGAATTTATTGCCGGCCAATCATAAATTACGTTTCCAATGGCCAGTAAGTATTGTAGAACGGCAATTTCAAAAGACCTATTATAACTTCAAATTTCTAATAAAATTAAAAAGCTGTAAATAAAAAAATACATTTCATCCTTGTCGCGAGATGTACATGTGTATGTCACCAACTGCATAATACTTTATTCCTTCGTCAACTTGTTTTTATCTTTTTAGTTAGCTTTTATGCAGTTAGGTTTTTTTATTTTTATAATGTTTTAAAGTAATGTGTAAGTTGAACTTATATCTGTAAAATAAAAATCGTACTGTTTTAAAAAATTAATTTTTTTTTTTAGAAAAACAGTTAAAATATTTATAAAATATTAAATTTAAATAATGCTAAAAACATCAATGAAAATATTCTAATGAATATTAAAAAAGCCTTCCCCATACTATCCAACAGCCGTCAAAAATGGCGGCTCGAATTTGGGTTATGTGTTATTATATTATTAATTACTTAAAATCTAATAGAAAATTTACAAATTCAATTATACGTAGTTATTTAGTTATAAATTTAAATCATGTTAATAAAAATATTATGCTATCACTAGTGTATTTTTTATTCAGAAAAAGTGAAAATATAAGGACTAAGCGCGCGTGAATGCTTACGATGTTTGACAAATATAACAATTTCTGTATAAAATCTCTATTCAATACACATCCTATGAAATAAAAACTGTTAATTACTTACCCTTCCATCATATTCCAATCCTTATACTAATAATTTTACACTATTTTGTTAATTTTTTACTCACAAGTATTGAGTTCAAAGATCGCCAAAATTTAAATAAATTGTCTGCACAAATTACAATAATTTATGTTATTGGAGTTATTACTTTTTTGACATGTAGTATGATATTATTGCTTGTATTTTTCTTTACACGTTACAAAAGTTAGATAAAAATAAATATAGTTTAAATGCGAGAAATCACACATTAAATGACATTGGGACCAATCGACCTTTAAAAGGTCGCTTGACAGACAGGGGTGTTTTTGACATCGACCTTTAAAAGGTCGATCGACAGACGAGGTAATAACCGTGGTAAACAACTCATAAAATGGAAACAGCGCCATCTATGTAAACGCAGTACAAACTCATTGCACAATTATCAGTAAAAGAAAATTTTTATTTCTAACACAGTATTTGATATTCCTCTGCTTCAGATATTATTTTTTAATTTTACATAAACAATACATATAACGACATCTATTGACATTTATATAAAAAATAATTCTATGGTTCTGATGGGACTCCATAATAAAACTTACCTGTACAATACATCCTTCAAAGCCTGCATATCCTTTTGTAACCTTGAATTCTGTTCCCTCGCCTGATTAAGGACGATTTGTCGACTGCTACAGCTCATACACACTTCCACTAGTGGTATAGCTGTTGAGTGCTCTGTCAAATATAAGATTTGATTCTCTGTTAAGGTGATTTTTCAATTATATTATTAATTTTTTCATTACATAAAACAAAAATAAAATACAATATACAATAAAAATATTAATTTAAGTCATTGTGAGTTTAAGTGTTTGAGAATTTATTTTTTTACATTCTACATGACATTGGAAAAGTAATCTACGTTCGAGTGGCACGTTTTGAAGCTATTAATAAATAATAATAATAAATATGTTGGGACATTAACACACAGCTCCACCTCGTTCCATGGTAAGCTACAAGGCTTGTGTTATGGATGATGTTCTCCTGACCGATTGCGGCCACGGCGGCCAATCTCATTGAGACTAGCCAACTGCGCAGGAGATATTATAGTGCAGCGCGTGTGAGGGAGAGCGCAGACATAGCGTGCACTCTCTATTCCTGTCACTCTCATACTCC